TGTTAGCCCTTCTCCAGGCTCCAGCATTGCTGAAGGCTTTTCAGTTCTCACCAGATGTAGTAGCCTCTTCCTTAGCCCTCCCTCAGTTCAAGCAATAGTAACTTCAAACAAAAGTAATAGTAATAGCTGTAGTTTTCCCACCAAGGTCCATTGTGATCAAGTCTCTGTTGACACAGGAGTTAAAAGTGGTTTCCTCCCACTCTCCAGAACAGCTGGCTTGGCTTGCCTAACCAAGGGCCAGTAGTAATTGGGGCCTCCATCCCACACAGTTTAGTACTGTACAGTATCCTAGAGTTTCCTTCTCTGCCTTCAACCCTCCTCCAGGGTCCTGGTGTGACCTACCTCTTCGCAGGCCTTCCCTAGCCCCTTTGGTGGAGCACCCCACACAAGATCCAGTCTCTCCAGACAGGTTTCCCTAATAAGGAAATACTCTTCCGCCAGATCGCCCTCCATTCAGAAAAGGCTGCCTTTTATATCTCCCAGCAGGCTTGGCTCTCAGTCATGTGCTCTTAGGGTAGGTTGACACTTGTGGCAGCGTACAGAATTCACAGGTAGCACAGGTATAGATGGTGAGGCACTGCTTAGGTGAGTACAGTAGAGACATGTCAGAATCCTATATACCCTACATGGCTCTCTATATGCTCAAGCAGTGCCTTCCAGGCCTGCACTGCTATATTTAGCAGTGTCGTGTCCCTGCTGCCGCCCTACCAGAGCCTTTCACTGCCATGTGTAGCTACACATCACAGTGTAGATGCAACCTGCCTTTCACCACGGCGTGCAGCTACACGCACCCTACATGCGGCCAGAAGTGTAGACAAGTTTTGTTGCATGCTCAGGGGAGATAACAGGTCAGAGTTGGAACCTGAATGTCTTAATGGCCCAGCTCCCCCGTGACACATGGGAACATTTATGCAACATTCTGGGGTGACTTCTGCCTTAGTAAAACAAGGGTCTACAGAGTAATTTGTGCATTTTCCTTCTACCTATAAAATTAAAATACAAGTATAGACTAGGGACCAATCGTGCAAACTCCCATGCACATAAGTAACATTACTCATGCGAGTAGCTCATTGACTTCAAAGTTACTCACATGTGTAAACTGACAAAATTTGGCCCAGTGTCAGTTGGCTGCATCCTGCTGAGCTGGACACCTGGAATGTGTTCTCTTGGTGTGAACATTCTTGAGGACATTATCCAATGCCCAGTGATACCACTGAGAGTCCATTGATTGACTTTAGTGAGCACTGGCTCATGCCCTTGTGGAAATGATGGTGGCTGACAAGTTGTGATCAAACACTGGAGAATATTTGAGGAAAGTGAATTTCAAATTTGCAGCTCCGAATATTCCCTCCAATAGCCTCGGTCTAAAGTTACAGTCATCCAGATGGGGAACAGAAACATACCTTATGACCTTCTTGTCCAATCATAAAACAGCTCAAATTTGAATGCTAAAGGGTATGTATTCATAATGAACTTCTGGGAAACCAAAAAAAATATGACAAATCTAAAGTCAAAATTGCTGTGCCATTTCTGTTGTAAAAGGCCTCTGGAACAATGGAAAAAATAATGCATCTTTGCTTGGGTTGCACACTGCTCTCCCCTCTGTTCAACCGTCTTAAGACTCCTTGAGTGCCCCTCACTTATGCACACCTGCCTCCCAGTTAACACCATGCTGAGGCACACAGCTGAGGGCTTTACTTCAGCCCACTGCACTGCAACCATTAACCCAGACCACAGAGCTGAAGTGTCTCCTTTGCAATGAGCAGAACCTTTAATAACCATTGCACAAAGCAACGATTGATTTCAGTCGGGACTAGGAGCCTAGGCCCAGATTTTTGAAGGCATTTAGGCGTTGCTGCACACAGCGTTGAAATGCCTAACTGATTTAGGAGCCTATGTCTCATTTTCAAAAGGAATTTAGGTAATTAGGAACCTACAATGAAAACAGGCTCCTAAATGAGTTAGGAATTGCAACTCTGAGCCCAACAAAGCCTAAATACCTTCAAAAATCTGGGCCCTGACCTACTTTGAAAATCCCATCAGGCAACTATCTGCATCTTCAGGTGCCTAAACATCTTTGAAAAACTGGGTCTAATCCCTCTAGCTTGGGTCATAACAGACTCCCATCTTTTGGGGATTGGGCTCAGAAAGAAATTCATAACACAGCTGAACAGTGGGTTACCCATGCATTGGAACAAAGCTCTTAGAAAATACTGGGGACTTTAACAATATCTTTAAGAAAGACCATGGGAACTAAAGTCACAAACAGAACTGGGTTTTTATTATGAAAGAACCCTGCAAATACATAATGAAATGCTGTCTGCAGCATACATTTCCTGAGGAAAGTGGATCACAGTATTCATTTTTCACAGAATAACATGTAGCCTGCTATAACTTTCAATGTGACTCTTTATTATTTAAATATTAACAGTATTCCTTCACATAAACAATTACTCAGTCATCACATAACCAACACACAAACGTGACAAAATAAATATACAACAAGAGCACAGTTCATTTGGACTTAAATATTAAATAAATAATAAATACAGAATTTTCATTTACCGTTAATCAGTGCCTGAAACAATATGAATGAAAACAAAATCCCTAAAAGTCTCTCTTCCCCTCCCATTGTCCCCACCCCTTCAAAAAAACAAACCAAAAAATTATCAAAATGCCTCAGTTATAAAATATCTTTAAAAAATTCCCATTGTTAAAAGAATAAATAACAAAATATATAAAAAATAACTCGGTTGCATCAAAATTACAAGTAGGAGTTGTAGATACGTGGGGTTTTTCCTTTTTTCTTTCTTTCTTTCTTTCTTTCTTTCTCTTTCTTTCTTTTTTTTTTTGGAAATTTTTTTTTATGGTCAAAAAAAGTTTTACTTTTTTATTTTTTGCTTTTCTTTTCCATGGTATGGTGTCCAGTTTAAAATAAGTATAAAATTAATAAATAAGAAAGGTTAAATAAATAGGAAAAAGTTAACATAAGGTGTTGTGAATATAAATTACATACATCTTGCCAAAATTAAATAATTTACAGGATAATTAAACTAGCTACTTTTCCCCCGTCTCTCTCTCTTCCAGGAAGTGCAATTTCTCTACTTTTAAATACTAACTGAATTGTAGTCACAAGCAAGTTGGACTCTATTTACATGTTAAGAATTGTGTTTTTAACACATCAAATTACATTTTTTTCCATTTTATTTTTGCACTTGAAATGGGTTCTAAAATAAGTGAATTCATGGGATCTGATCCTGCAAACTCTTAAGTATGTGATTAAATTTATTCACATCAGCTGCCCAATTGACTTCAGTGGGGCTACCTACCTACTCACGTGCTTAAGAACCTGATCCAATGTCCACTGGAATCAATGGGACTCTTTCCATTATCTCCCTTGAGCTTTGCATTATCCCCTAAATATCTGCAGGATTGGGCTCATAATGACACAATATTCTTCACTTTATTATTGGTGAGCAAATTCCTCTCCACCCCTCACCTCACTGGAAATGATATTGAAAGTGGGGGGCTTATGTGACAAGTACTGGGGTGCTAGAGGCTTCTATCTCCCTCTTCTCCAAAGTGTTATCACCAGGCTGATAAAGAATTCTGAATGATAGTTAATGCTTGTGTGAGATGAGTTTATTAAACAAGCCTTCAGGATTTGCAATTTGCTGGGACAGACCAATACTTCTCTCCCTCTCTGCCGGCTCCTTTCTTACAGATTGAAAAATACCTTAATCACTGTGCTCTGCAATGCTGGATGGTTGGATGAATGAGGTGCTAGAGATTGGTTTTGCAAAGACATTCACATAGTTGTACTTCTTTTAAGTGCACGTTGGGCTGCATGTACCAACAGCTTACAAAAGGGTTCTTTGGAAGATCAATACCCAAATGCTCTTTTTGTGGAATGACGCTTGCTCTGTAACCTTGCACAAAATACAGAAACCAAAACCAACCAACCAAAGCAAAACAAAACCAAACCCCATTGCTATATGTACATCTATAAGGAATCAACCACAGTCCATGGTAGATAAGCACTTTGCTGGCCATCAATTAGTATCTTTCATTTTTGTTGATAATCATTTTAAACATTTCTCTGGCATTGATATATGATATCTGCACTGGCAGTACTCCACTGCTGAAATGATGACCATAATATTGAAAAGAACCAGAACAGTCCACCAATAGACTTCCAAAAAATCATATACACTGGACCATGACACATTTAGAATTCTTCCGTATGAAATATCTGGTATTGGTCTATTCATAATAGCTATTCTCATATTTAAGACAGACAAAGGAATACTGTAGTTGCAAACTCCAAAAGCTTCCCTGAGAACCTTTTTTCCATTGCGCTTTCCACTGGAGATCCAGAACTGCTCTTCAGAAAATAAAAATAAGCTACTTTATAATACTTAAGAGTTCCCACACCCAGTGGATATCTGAATACCTTAGGGGTGGGAGGCCCAGCAGAGGTTCAGATTTACAGGTAGCTTGCAGCTCCAGCTTCTCATTTACAGTAACATATAACATAATTCATGTGTGAGTAGGTGATCTGGACATATGACCATAGACAACATGAGGGTTGAAGCCAGTCATACTCTGTTCTTAAATCAGACAAAACCCTGTTCTTCTAATGTACTAACCCTTGGATTAATTCGGCTACAATGCCTTCTTTCTCATCAGTAAAATGTGGCAACTCATGAAGATGCCTTATCTCCACCAGCAACCAAGCCCTGCAACCTATTGTAGTGTCTCATCGTCCATTCTCATCTACCTCTTGGTACGGGTAGAAAATCCCACGCTCTGCAAGAAGGTCCAAGTTAGGTAAACGACAACATGGAGTTCAGTTCAGTTCTGCTTCTTGTAAATGGCCTCTTGGTTAAATTTTGGTCCTTTTTTCATTCATGAGACACGTTTTATAACTTGTAAACCTGAATACTCGGAGTGAAGGTTCCATCTTCTTACAGTTTGTTTATTTGTGTTATCCCACGGCACTAGACTTGAATTCCCTTGACAGCCTGTTTAATGCTTTCTAGCAGGTCCCTGTTCTCAGGGTTCTGGTAACACTCCTGATTGGTGTACATGTCGGTAAGGGTATTAACATAAGCGTCAAAGTTCTGTTCACTGATTGGCTCCTGAATCCAATAAAACAAAACAAAAATATAAATTGTTAAAAAGACAATGAAGAGGGGGAGGAAGGAAAAAAAGAGCCTAATCACTGTGTTTAATTCTCCTGGGGTGGTGCTGAGATTATCAATATTTGTTATTAATCATTATTTGTATTACAGCAGCAGCTACAGGGTCCCAGACAAGATCAGGGCCCCATTGTGCCAGACTTAAGCACATGGTTAACTTTATGCACTGACTGCAATGGGACTAGTAACAGTGTATACATTTAGGAACGTGCATAAGTCTTTACAGGATTGAGGTCTAAATAGAGAAGGCAGACTAACGGTGGAGACGTGCCGAAGGGCACACAGCAGAGTCAGGATTAGAACCCAAGTCTTCTGAGTCCTTGCATCATGCTTTATCAACTCGAGTATGGTCCCAGTGCTTAATTTGCGCCAGGGCTGAGCCTCGGCACCTCTGGGCTTGTCCGCTCATAGCCCCCCCGGCATCTCTGGGCTTGGCAGTTCAGAGCCCCCCGGCACCTCTGGGCCTGGCAGTTCAGCGCCCCCCAGCACCTCTGGGCCTGGCAGTTCCTAGCCCCCCGGCACCTATGGGCCTGGCAGTTCAGAGCCCCCCGGCACCTATGGGCCTGGCAGTTCAGCGCCCCCCGGCACCTCTGGGCTTGGCAGTTCAGAGCCCCCCGGCACCTCTGGGCTTGCCGCATCAGTTATTAAAGTAAAAAAGCCCTGGCACCTCATTCATTACAAATTAAGCACTGCATGTTGCCACACCAGTCCAGACACCACACTGATTGGCTACCATATGAACACCCCAGATAGACGCATCAGATTAAACAGAGGGAGAGAAAAAGGGGAAGAGGAGAGAGAGGGAGGAGGAAGAGCAGAAAGATGAAGAAATATTAGTAATATGAGTGTGTACATTTTGTGGACACCATTTGATTTGGAGCTCGTTGAACACATTAAAAACATAATCGCTGGTTGGTTTAGTTGACCGTCACCTATCAAATAGCCAATTCAATGAATAGTTTTTCGCCAGGTGGAGAGCTGTGTGAATACAGCCTGAAAGTATTTGTCAAGGAAATTCTCTGCTGAAGAACAGATAGTATCCAACCAGCCCAAAATTAAATCCAAACCTTGGTGGAAAAAAAATACTGAAAAAGGTGATGGGAAAGCTCATTCCATAAATCAAAAGCTCATTTCTATGATCATCTCGCTAGTATCTGCAAGCAGATGCCTTCCACATCTGCCCCCCAGCTCACATACATACTGCACACCTATTTTAGACAATAATAATTAACTTCCTGGGACTAGCGAGAAGGTAATTAATAGCTCTTTTTGGTTTTTCTATTTTAATGTAGTCTTTTCATTTTGCAGTAACATTATGGCAACATGCTGTGTCCTGTTAGACCTTGTTAAATTAAACAAAATACATTCTCTTTAAGGATGCTATTCTTTGGCTGCTAGCTATTCAAAACTGAATTGAAACTACCTGCATTATAATAGGAGCTGTAAGATCTTTCTGACGTTGAAATCGAATCCCTCCTGATCTCTGCTTGTGCTGTCTTAGTCTGAAAGGCGCTATGCGCCCTTGATAAAGTTCCTATTTTCTGATTTAGCTACTAGATATAATGAGACAGAACAATAGATACAAAGGGAGATCAGCAGAAAGTGACAACAAAAGGAAGATAACAATATATGCTTCAGAGATACAGTATAGGTATTGATGTTACGAAAGGCAGATGTGTGAATAAAGAGATGACCATCTCTAGCTATTTCTCCCAATCTTTAATTGTATATAAACCCTATCATGAAAATGGTTTTAGTGTTGCTCATTTGATCACAGTGATTTTGATGAAACACTTTAAAAGTTCCTTACCATATGTGGAAGGCGGATATTGGCAAGACTTTGGATAAGAGCCTGGCTCAGACCTGAGAGCTCCAAGAACAGGGCTTCATTCTGCTCCTCTATGATTTTGTTTTCTTCCTCAATGTTCTTTAGGTTCTTCTCCATGGTTGATATCTGCACAGCAAAGAGTGCAGCAAAGTTATTTGCCCTCGCCCTCTCCTTCAACCTGTCGCTCCATATAATATGCCCTGGGCTTGGTCAAAGATTTTCTGTTGAAACTTTTTTCCAATGGGAAGCTGGGTTTTCAGTTAAATGAATGGTTTCATGGAAGGAGTCTGTGTTCCTGGAACAGGTATGATTTTTCATCGGAAAGCTGAAAATTCCCTCCCCCCCCAGTTTTTGGCTGATTTTATTTATTTATTTATTTTGGATGAAAAAAATCAAAATTTTTATTTGGACAATTTTTCTCCCATTTTTGCCAGTTTTCCTCAGGGGGAAAAAAAACCACTTCCCAAAGGGCTCAAATATATAGGCACTCTGAATTTTTGTAAGTTGCTATTGTCATTAGAAAAAATTAATCAGGGGTTTGATGTTAATGACACTTCCTTCCCTTCTTTACTTACTTTGCTAAGATAAATTACTGCAAATCATTTACATACCTAGGACATCAGTGGAAGACAATGAGGCAGGTCCCGCCCTTGGATGAGGTCACTTTGCATTGCTTTTTATGTCTGCCCTGAAAGGTCAACTGAGGATTCCCCCCTCCACTTTCCATTGACTCCAATGAGTTTTGGCTCAAGCTCTATGATTACAGATCTTGGTAAGAGTCCACACTCACATACCTGTGACTGCAGCTTCACCATGGCAGCCTCCATCTCCGAGTTGGACTCATTCAGCTCAGTAATCTCCTTGTTTAACTGCTTAATTTCTTCATCATTCTCTAGAACTGCAGGTGGGAAAACTGCAATGAATCACCTGCTGCTCTGACTCACAGATGAGGAAAAAAGCAATGGGAAGGCAGGGTTTTCTGATGAATGCGAGGTTCCTGCTCTGGGACTTTCTTTTATATACGCATCAGAGCGCTGGCAATGCTTACATTCTTCCTAACACCACATCTAAAGCGAGCTCACATTTCACATGGTTTTATATGTTCCATAGCATCACGGTTAATTATGTTCATAGATCAATGGTTCCTAAGCGCTACAGTAATAATAATAATAAATAATATAATAAATGTGTAAAACCAGAACCAGATAATGGACTCTTCCATCTAGAGCCTCTCCTACTCACAAGCTCTTCAGAACTGATGTATGTTCTGCTCGGCACGCTGCTAGTTTGAACCGTGTGCAGTCTGAATTTGTGAGGCTCTCGTTTCAAGTGCTAATGTGTTTTAGTAATAAACTGGCGTGAGTATAAATTAGAGCAATATTTCTAGAACTGTGTAGAATTTCCTTGGATCAGAAAGAAGGAAGTGTTCTAGTATAGTAGTAGGGCTCGATCAAATAGTAAACCAACAAACCAACCACAAAAATCCTGATTTGCAAATATTTGTGTGAGTAAAAGCCCTGAGCATGTGAGAGCATTTGAAAGATTAGCAGGAATTCATGAAAATGTCTCTGAATTCTCGAAAGTTTTATGAATTTTGGCACTGGCGATTTTTCATCTGAAAATTCACAATGGCCACTCATTGTTTGTCATGTTTCGTTTCTTAACTTTCAGTCATCCAGTCCGGCAGCAGCAACACCACCAAGTGTCTTAGACAACGAATTTCACAACATGAGTAATGAATTTTCACAGCAAACAGTTTTGCTAGCAGGCATCAGGCTAGAAATTATTGGCTGACGCTCTGTGCCGTACACGATGTTTAACGAATAAACTCTCAGAAATCAGGATGGGGTTGCCTATGATTTGCTAAAAAGGTGGAGCTAAATTAATAACAAATATCACTCAGAGTTAAGGTCCTAGTTGAATTGTGGGATGGTTGTAAAGTAGTTGCAGCTGAGCTGTGGACAAGATATGGAAAATAGCGGAAAAGTAATAATGGAACTTTATTTATTGGGCTGATTTGGAAAAGCCTGAGAAGATCGATTTGTTTAAGAAAAATTTGGTGGAACAATATAAACACTCAAGTATTATGTTATGCCTGCTAATTTTTTATTTGGGGGAGGGGGGTTAAAAGACATTTTGCTGCCACTACATTATGGTCAATAGTGTGCAGGGCTGACAGCAGGAGCCCAAGCCGACCGGGACTGACAGCTCAAGCCCCAGCTGCTATCAGCTCAGATAAATGGGATTCTAGGGTACTAATGGAGAAAAAAGTATATGTTGCAAACCTCAAAATGTATGCCAAATTGTGGACTGTGCAAAGTAAGCTAATTAAAATCAACATTGCAGTGGAAGCCTAATATTGCAGGATCTGCAATTTCCGCAGTATCACAAATTAAGCAGGACCTTTCTCATCGTGAATACTCTCGTCAGCTCTATTTAGCATTCAGAAATTTGTACTGCACATTAGACTTGAATATCTATTTTTTAAATAAATATTATATGACCGTGACCGCTGCATATCTGACACTGATCTTTATGACAACATAAAGACAAAATTGGGGCAATCTCCAGTTTCAACAATATAAGAGCATAGGTGGAGGAAGAAATAGCAGGATAAGGGTAGACAGAGCGACCCTATTCACGGTGGTGAGCACAATCTAGCCCTAAATTGGGTGAGCATGCAAAGAAATGATGTAACTCATCAATTTGTGGGAGGGAGAAGCTGAACGAATAGTAGGGCTATCACTATACTAAGACAACAAGTTCATATGTTGATGATCAAAGGCTGATAATTATTAGAGATAGTCAAATGTATTTGCCAATTTTGCTGTTATTTGTTAAATAAATTATGCATCAAAAGCCTGACTCTGCCACCCTTATTCATGCAGGCAGTTCCACTGAGCAAACCAGGACTAACTGTGTGAGTAAGTACTACTCAAAGTGAGAGAAGGTGGCAGAAGTGAGTCCCAAATAATTTTTTTGCATTTCTCTGCTGGTCAATGGCTGGTCAAACAAAAACTAATAAACAAACCCTACCAAAACAAGACACTGCTCTGCGCGTACTTTTCCCCTCGGGGAGAAGATGACAGAACAAACAAGTGACAACTGTGGAGTCATGTTGCTTAAGTACTAGTGGCAGGTGCTCAGATATTAGACTCATGAGCGCAGTGTAAGGACCTATATAGAATAGAATGGAACACAATTATTTCAATAATTAATTGATAACAATGACATTTGGCAAAATAGCCATTTTTTGCATGAGTCATCTGATTCTAATAATAATACAGTATGGATACAATACACAAATAGTCAGCTTATCAACACATATGCAAGATAAAGCAACCAAGTGCAATATCCTTACCATCGCTGGTCTTGAATTTAGTGTTGAGAATTTCATCCCCTGAGAGTTTTCCTTTCTTTCCAGCAAAAGTAGCTCTTGGACACCCTGATAAACTAAAGGCAAGTAAAAATGGGTTTCATAAACTCTTAGCATCTATGGATGTTTATGTGCCCAACAATGGTCCACACCGTTTGGCTGAGTTTGTGCCATGAGGCGATTCTTCTAAAAACATCCTACACTAAAGGTTAGAGAGGAAATTGCATTATGAATAACACCACAATCATCCTCATCTATAAAACAAGAGCGATTTTTGTTGTGCAAAGATTAGGAAATGCAAATCCCCTAAAGGAGTGGACATGACAGATTATGGGACAGCTCTGACTAACAAAGACATTCAAAAGTGTCAAAAATATGCCATGATATGCTAATTTAATTCAATTAAATTATCATTTTTCACAATTTGCCCGAAGTCAGATTTCGTAATTTTTCACAGCACAATGGCTATTTGTTTTGCTGGAGAAAACCCCTTTCAAGTTCATGAGAAACTGGGCAAAACCTAAGACCAAAAGTGTGAACTTTTTCAGCCTATTTTGTGGCTGAAGGTCTGAATATTTTTAGCCCACCATCTCCAGAAAGGATGGAAGAAATCAAAAATACCAAGGCCACCTGACAACATTTACTTCCTTGCTGAGTGTAGTTGTGCATAGGATTGCTGTGTACCCAGTTATTACCTTCTGTGAGTGAGAAAGCTTCCGTTGGCATGACCCGAGCCATCACAGCCAGGGGTCGGACAGGTAGGCCCCTCATTCTTCAGTGACTTCCAGGAAAACGATGAGCCATTGAGTGATCCTTCTTTCTGCCGACGGGCTGCAAGAGGACATCCTGATGCACTGCGATGAGAGGCATATTTGCCACTGATGTGTCCAAGCCCAACACAGCCAGGAACCGGACACCTAACCACAGAGAATTACAAAAAGTTATAAGATGAAAATGGGAGCAAACAGGATTTTAAAGGTGCAAACACACTTATGATAAAATTAGTGACGGGGAAAGCCAAATAAGGTTCTGAGGTGAGTACTCCAAAGCCAAGATTCTCATTTAAATTGTGGAGTGCCGAGACCTTTTTCGTAAGGCATGCAATTCTACACTTACATGCCTTAAGAGGTCCAAAATGGTGTCCTCCATGCAGCGTGACCTCTCACATAAGGTGCGTGAGAGGTCATGTTGTGCGGAGGACACCATTTTGTTCTTCAGTGCACGATCAGGGGCCAGACAAAATCAGCCCACGGGCTGCCAGCTGGACCATGTTTTTTGAATTCTGGGGCATGCAATGCATGTCTTCCATACAGAGATGGCATACCACTGGATCTGAACTTCATCTCAACTGGAGTGGGCAGATCTTCAGCTGCAGTAAACGGTCACAGCTCCATCACCATTTACACAAGTCTAAACACCAAAGGAGGGTGAGGAATTGCTTAGGGTGTTCCAAAGGGTGCTGTTGCCTCCGCCCCCCCCCCCCCCCCCCCCCCCCATCGCTGTGGTGCTTGGAGTTAACAAATCCTTGCAATGCACGGGGCAGTTCACACCTCTCAGAGATACTGTTTCAGGCAACAGTTGGCGTAGCTAGGAGTAGAAATCTGGCTGGGCCTCATTTATGGTGGATGAGCTAAGTTCACCCAGCCCCTTGGGTGTGAGGTGGGGAAGAAGCAGGAGAAACTAAACTGGCTAAAGCAGGTGCCGGCCCCCAGCACACACTGCTGTGGCCTCTTGGGGACAAACACAGGGATGGGATGCAGCCTGGGCCCCTGGAGGCCGAGGAGCTGCCCTGACACCTGCACAAGGAGAAGGGATGTGTGCTGGGAGGGTTCTGCTTGTTGTGAAGGCAGCTGTTTATTGGGATGGAGGGAGCGACCAGGCTCCCAGCTCTGTGGGGAAGGTCTCTTTGTGCGCATAAGATGAGCTCCCTGGTGTGTGTGTGTGTGTGGGGGGGGGGGGTTCACTGTGCAATTTCTATCCAGGCCTGGAATGGAGGGGAAGCCTGAAGGGTGGGTTGGGAGGCTGGAGACCAAGCCCTCCCCACTACAGCTCCCCAGTCCAGCCTGTGGGCTCTCGCAGACTCAAAGGAGCCTGCCACAGCATCAGGTGACCTGCAGGCCCATGTGCAGGTGGGGCCCTCGTGCTGCAGGGCCCCACCCCCTCCTTAGCCCTGACACCGCTAGACACGGGGCTCGGCCTGCCCAGAGGGGCACGAGCAGGGGGTGGTTTAGAAAATGACAAGGCAGAGCTGCCAGAGCGTAGCTTTCCGAAGTGACGGAGCATCGCTCCATCCTGGATTTCAGGTGCTGGAGCAATGCTCCAGACCGCTCTGGAAGCGCTACACCACTGCTCAGATCTGGGTGGGCCTGGGTGCAAACTGGGTGGGGCGTGGCTCACCATCGGCTACACTCTGCTGTGCAGACACCACTGCATCCATTACGCTCCTTTCATGCTTCAGACTTCTCTTTGCAACCACAAGGGCTAGAGACGTACTCTATTGTTTTTAAATGAAAGCGGACATTCTGTCACGATCACTTGCCTGCAGGAGCCAGGGCCCCCCAGCTATGGGCCTATGGGGCCTATGGCCTTAATCTCACCCTGCTTAAGTTCTTTGCTGAGCTGGGGCCTAAATACTGTCGTCTTGAGGCTTTACAGACTTCTTGCCATGGATCTTGATGTAGCCAAGGGATTTCTTGTGACACAGCCTCCAGCTTTCCTAATGCAGCCCTAGTGCATAACTCAATAGTGCTGTAGAGATTTCGGCATGTGTGGCCCTCTGCATAGCAGCTACTCCACAGGGCAGCAGCCAACGATAAGTCATCTCCTTACACTGGCTCCTTTTGTTGCCAAGGGTAAAGAGTAATAGGAGCAGGGGATGGGTCCAGCACAAAGCATAAATAACAGAGAGCTTTGTGAGCAGAGGGAATATATGATAAGAACTACAATGGATGGGCAGGCAAAGAAACAGTGGCCTGAGGTGGTGCAATGTGTAGATAAGAACAGAGCAGCAGCTCCCAGACAACGGTGGGCCCACAGCATCAATTTATAATGACTGGGTGGCCATAATGCCCTGAGTGTTTGGCTACCCTGTATATAGAGGGACAGCAACGCAGAGCTCAGAATGAACATCACATCACGTACTAGTGATCATTTAACATCCGCAACTGCTTTCAGTGAGGCGTCTGGCACTCACTGAGAAATTCACAGGGAAGCTCAGAAATGGGGGACGTGAGGAACAACATGAGACAGGGACAGATAGAAAGTCTCATCTTTGAAGGTTCCGGTGGCTTCTCCTTCTCATGACCGTAACTTATGTTTAAACCAATTTCAGGGTTTACTTTGACTGGCTGTTCTAGTTTGTTTTTTTAAAAAATAAATGAGTGTTTAAATGTAAAGGCATCATAGAAAGGGCCACAGTGATGGGGTATCTCCTTAACTACAATGGCAACATTGGCCAATGCGTCAGTTTTACAAACACAAAATAGATGTTGAGCCAATTTTCGTGGGGTGCAATTGTGGAAACCAGCTGAATTTTGTCGTCCCCCCCTTTATTTTTTTAATCTAATAAACTGATTGTAGATTTTTGGCCAAATTACAGATTAATCAAGAGCACTTAAATTTGCTGTCAGCCGAGAGGTGGAAGTGTGAGGTTATTTGCTGGGTGAGCAAGTTTTTGTTATTTGGGGAGTTGACCAAGAGCGGATCACAACTGAGGAGTGGCATGGGAAAGTGAAGGGTGGATAGGCTGGAGAGCAAATGGAGGGTACATGGATGGATGATGGAAAGCACATCTCTCAAATTCAGTTCACTACATTCTCCTTTCCTTCTCCTCTCTGTCTCCCCATAGGTGGGGAGCAGGAGACAAAGATTTACAGGTTTCATTCGTAATAAGTTGACAGATCAGGCAGACAGAGTTGCCGGGCACAGAATTTGATTAAAGATGCCGAGAGGCTAGTGTTACACCTGGAGGCTCTAGAGTTTGTATGCTAGCAGCCTGGCCATGGCTTGCATTCATGACACCAGACTAGGTTTCTCCTGAAATGTGACCCTCTTTCTCCTGTGCCACTCTTCACATTTGGGACAAGACTGGCCCGTCTTGAGGAGTGGAAAGAGTAAGACACATTGGGAGGCAGCGCTGGGTTGTGGTCTGGGAAGAGAGGTACCTTGGAGGGTAAGAAAAGGAAGTAAAAAAGATTTGGAGTATATCTGTTAACTGGATAACCGAAAAATCCCTTCGGGAGAGCACATTAGCATTAATCCTTTTCAACTTCCAACAGAAGAACTAAAACCCAGGTCAGAATCCTTATCCTCAAACCACACATCTTGATTACATCAATGACTCCAAAGATTGACAGTCACTCATCAAACTGGACTTTATCTGTAGGTGATGGAATGATTGTATGGACACCACGGTAACCCTAAACCAACGGGCACCTGTTTTTACATAGCTACAGCAAATCATACCTGACATTCTTGCCAGGAAATCCAGACTTTTAAATCCCTTTTCCCAAAACAAGCACAGTTAAGACAATAATTGCTGAGAATTCTGCTAAAGGTCAAGGCAAGGGGGTTTTGAAAGTACGAGCATCATCATAATTTGTTAAAAGCTACTTTTGTGTTGTGGAAACACAAACATTTCCACGGATCAGTCACTTGTTTAGACCTTCATCACGCAGCCAGGTACATCACTCAGGTACAAAGGTGTGATTTTCGGATTGGGGCCCCATTGTTTTATTCTGCCACTCAGAATTAAAAAGCTAAGGGGATACATTAAAAAGTAATAATAGCTATTGTTTCTGGATTGTGACCCTGTGGCAATTCTGCAGGCCATGTTTCAGCAAATGTTTAAGGCTGGCTATAAAGTTCTGGAGGTCGGGATTCATAATGGAAGTGCAGACACAACTTACAGTAGTAGCCATGTGGAAAAGTGCCACCATACAAAGGAATCTCTCACCCCTTCCCCGCCTCCAAACTCACTGGCTAATGGCATGCAGTCATTCAATGAAACCTGGCGCATCTGCTAAGGTTTCTGCTGTGGTTTGCATTTGTTTAAAGAGGCTAGTCAATTATAAATACAGTTAAAAGTTTATTACTCAAGGGAGAATGCCATATATTAAAAAAAAGTAGGTATGAAATGGCAGCGCTAACCCCCTCATCCTCTTTGGGAAAGTAATTAGGGATTTCAAGCATTCCTATCAAAATATTCACTGAGCTGTTCCTGGAAATCACAACCTACGTTTCACCAATGAAATGATTACCCTTATTATTTTTATATTGTATAAAAAGAAATTGACAGCAGAGGAGGGAGCTATACACCCATTTTTTTCCAAGATAATTTGAAAAACGCTGATCTCAATTTTAATCATCTGCAAATGCAGCACAATTCACTTATAATATCCCTGCCAGCAGGAGCCTTGCTAAATTCATAACAGCGTTGCTTTTATATGATCACAAGCAAATTACTGAATCCCCAGGAGTAAAAGGGGTGGGGGCGGAGAGAAGAAAGAAAGAAAGAAAGAACCCCCCCCCCGCATTTAGAATTCAGCCTCTATGGCCCAACCGTTACATATTTTACACTGTTAATTTAACTTTCATTACACTTTTATTGTAAAAAATAAACCAGAGCCTTATTGTGCAAAACAGCTGGCTTGGACTTGAATTTTTTTTATTTAACGGAAGTGTTAGTAATGGCTGATCAATTAGACAGCCATTCTCTGTTGTTGTTTTTTAATGCCGGGGTAGGCTGAAGGTTGAGGTGATCTGTTCAATCACATCTGTAGTAAATTACTTGAAGGATGAGCAACAAAACAACAGGGACTAAATTACTTTCTCCTCGGTGGCAATGTGCAAAACTCGGATCAGTTCCAAGTGCCTTTTGGTACACAGATGGAGTAATGGAATTACAGTTAAGCCTCTTTAATGCAAACCTGCTGGGACCTTCACCAGAGCGTACCTCGTTATAGAAGACAAAATGCTAACTTCCCAAGGACTAGGGTAACTCAGCAACTAAGGGATCATTTCCTCTTATTGCTGTTTTGCCCCCAAGTCATCTCCGATGGGCTCCCTTTATTCTGATTGCCACTTCCACGTGTTAAGAACTGAGGGACGGACAGATATTGAAGCCCATACAGTGGCATAATGGGGGATTTCGCTTCCCTTTACAGCCCGGCATGGCCTTCCTGGGCCCCGGGTCTGCAAGCCTGATACTCCCCTGACCAAGTAGGGGAGGGGCATGGAGTGGGTGGTGCTTAGCTCTGTCCTCCAACAACATGCTGCTAGCAGAGGTGGTGTGGTACAGTGATCTGAACTATTCTCCTCCTGGAGCAATGTGGAGGGGGGGGGGAGGGAGAAGTCCTGGGGTGCTCCTAGGGCAGTGCACAAATGTGCTACCCTTACACAGGAGGGCATATTTGCAAATGCAGATGAGCCGCTCAGATTGCGGGCTGAAGGGTTATGCCATCTGGGGAGGAGGGTCCTGAATCTTCCCCCATTACCCCATTTGGATGCAATGTTTTATCCAGCACGTATGGCTGGGAGTCAGGGTATGTCTTCACTACCCGCCGATCCGGCGGGTAGCAATCGGTCTATCGGGGATCGACTTACCGCGTCTCGTGAGGACGCGGTAAAATCGATCCCTGATCGCTCTGCCGTCGACTCCGGAAATCCACCTCGACAAGAGGCGGCAGCGGAGTCGGCGGCAGCGCGGCAGCGGTCAGCTTTCCCCCGTCCTCACCGCCAAGTAAGCCGACCTAAAATACGCAACTTCAGCTACGGTATTCACGTAGCTGAAGTTGCGTATCTTAGGTCGGAACCCCGCTGTAGTGTAGACCTAGCCTCAGAAAATCCCAGCTCTTTCACTTAAGTCCTTTTACAGAAAAGGAAACTGAGACAGGGGAGTTAAAGTGGGGTCAAATTCTTACTCTCCTATGCCACAGGGCTTTTGGGATGGTCATTAGAAAAACTTGGTAAAGCACTTTGAATATAAAGGGCCAGATCCTTGGGCCAGGTGGGGCTACTTTGTGCTATTTCCAGCACTGCAATGCACCTTAAAGCTGGCAGATCTGGTTCCCTGTGGCTCCCCCTGCATGGGGGGAATATGCAGGCAGCGTAAGGCCAGCATAACAACTCCTATGCCACACCACTCCACTGGGAACTGGTGCAACACACGGAGTGTGACCATGGTGCCCTTTTGCCTCTCTAAGCTGCTGCTGAAATGGCCCCTGGGGGCCACTGACAGCTGGAATAAATCAGGCTGCTGGCCCCATGATTTTGGATAGCACAAAGCCCGTTTTCCCCCCACGGCTGCACTGAGCAATTCTCATTTACAGCTGAGGATCTAACCTGTAAAGTGCTAGATGAGAGACCTGGTCAAAAAATGTTTATGGAAGAACTTTCCATCAAAAAGTGCAGCTTTGCCAAAATGGAAACATTTCCATTTCAATAAAACTTGTGAAGGAGAAAAGCCAAACTGAATCATTTCAACCTTCTCGTGTTGTTAACATCAAAATAGTTCTTCTCAGGAGTGGCATAACATTTTGTTCCAACTTTATCATTTTGATTTGTTTAGTCTTTTATAGTAGATTAAAATATTAATTTTAATATTGTATATAGTATGTTTTATAAAAAGACAGAACATATTATACTTAATAATATTTTCTTATAAAATAAAAGTCTAAGCGAAATGAACCAACATGATAAAATCTGAACAAAAAGTTTCAACATTATTGAAATGACCCGTTTTTGACTTATGAAAAGTTTTGACTTTATCTAAACAGAATGATTCAAACATATCAAAACAAAATGTTTCAATGGTCCTGAACGGAATTTCTTTGGAATTTTCATTTTGTGGGATATGTTACAATTTCAGCTTTTTGTTCAGAATTCGGACCATTTTTTCCCTAAAATGTCAAAATTACCCAAAATGTCAAAATTCTGGTTTCCAAGCAGCTCGACTATAGAAGTTATTTCAGCTGCCATCATAAAGTGTGTATGTATGTTTTTGCACGTGTGAGTGTGTGCACACATGCACAACAACTGCAAAAGGATGCAATGGTCCAACCAAGGACCTCTTTCTCCTTTTTACTGATGTGTGATCTATTCTGTATATATATTTGTGAGTGTATGTAAGTTTCATATGCATAGATTGGAGCTTCCCATGGATCCTTTATACTGTGCTTCCTGTGCATACTTTGCCCACAGTTCTGCCTTCATTTGAATTTCCTGTGTCTTCACTCATGCAGCATCAGCCCTATTTTAGATCTCAGGGGACAAACTCAGCGAAGTAAACATTTAAACAAAATGGCACACACGGTGTAGCTGATTGCCAGTTGTGCTTACAGGGCCAAAATTGAGCCAGTCAGCACTTTGCCAGTGCTGTCTTTCGATTTTCACTCCCCTCTCTGTGCCATTGGTTAATGGAATCAGATTATGGATTTTTTCCCCCCTTAGCAATTTAGAACATTTATGTCAAAAAAGGATTTTTCTGAAGATTTTAGAATAGATTGCTTAATTTTTAATAAACTCCTGCTAATTATCACACGGCTCATTTAACCAAATACTTCTCTTCCTGTGGATTGAAGACTAAAAGCAGAGCAGATGGCTCAAATATCATCTAGTTTTTAAACATCCTTTCTATCAGTTATTGCATCTCTATTTACCGTGGACACCCATTGGTGAGTAGCAATATGTCATTTTCCCTGTTCATGACAGAAGGTTGCACAGCACTTTAGGTACATTACACATCCACATGTTTGCACCTGCAGCTGAAAAGGGAGCACAAATTGCTAATTTATCAACCTGATTGAGGGCAGAAATTGGAAATATAGAGGCACAAATACTCAGATTTACTCACCTGCAATACATGCTGCAAGGACAAACTTTACACCCACAAAAACACGAGCCAGAACTCAGGCCAACAGAAAAGATGCCCATTTTGGGTACTTCCATTTAGAGTTGAACAAATCGTTTTGGCTAAAATACGGTATTATCAACCCCATATATTCAAAAACCATGAGTCAGGCCCCTCCAAACCATGAGATTGTCTTAAAAATAATGAGATTTTTTTTAAATGAAAAAAAATGGGGTGCTTTCAATTTGCCTTCCAGTTTTTGAGACCTTAGGGTACACTTGGATTATGTTTTCTAACTTTTCCGCAACCACAATGGCTAGTAACTTACTTCTAAAAAACTGAAAACCGAGATTGTCTCATAATCAAATAAATCCAGGATTTGACTCGAAAGAAAACACCCTCCAAATGTCACAAGCACAGTGATAAAATCAAGAGAGTTGGCAACACAGAATTTTCCAAAAACCTGTTTGGAAGTTTGAAATGTTTTTGCTCATTATTATTTTCACTTGGCTCTACACTTCCTGGTTCCCGCAAAAGGGTTGTGGGATTCTGAAACAGCTGTTTTTTGTGGTTATTCTGGTACAAAGATGTAAGATTTGTCTGTTAAGGTATCTGACTCTTGTCACGTGTCAGAGGTCTAACCTTCTGTAACCCATGTTAGGTGACAGAGGCTAGAAAATAAATTTCAGTTACTTACCACTACTCCTGTGTGTCACACATTTATTACAAAACTAGTACAAGGTACTTCACAGTCAATGAGATTTTCCAAAGTGGCCTAAGGGGTTTAGAATCTCCATTCCTCAATCCCCTACATGCTTTGAAAATCTCAGCCAGAGACTCTAGGGCAGTGGTTCTCAATTTGCAGCCCGCAGGCCATTTGCGGCCCAATCAGCACACAGCTGCAGCCCACGTGATATCCTCAGGTCCATACAGGTAGTATATATATTGTGTGGATGCAGCCCACATAACACAGAGAGCTGCATATGAAGCCCACAATGGTAAATAGGCTGAGAACCACTGCTCTAGGGCCTATTGTAAGTGCGGGGGCCGGAGGGGGCGAGGGGCGGAGCGCTTCTTTGAGCATACATTAACAGCATGAAATAGCCAAACTAATTAAGTCCTGTTCAGTGTTGTCATGGGCCCAATCCTGTGAGGTGCTGCATGCCCTCAATTCCCACTGGCATTAATGGGAGTTGAGGGAACTCAGCATCGCCCGTGGACTGCTCTTTGCCAGGACGGAAGCCTAGAACACTTAGACAGAAACTCTGGTCAGTTATAAGAACAGCAATTTCTTTATGAAGTATTAAGAGAAAAGGTGACAGGAAATGAATAAATTGAGCTGGTGAAAAATTTTCTACATTTCAAATTTGGAAAATAAGTGGGAAAAATTGACCACAAATTCTCCCTCCCCCGCTTTTTTTTTTGTTGCAAGCTCTAGGATTAGTCAAAATTCTTCAAATTTCAAAAGTATTTTGGATTGTGGGGAAGACTAAACAGGAAAAAATGGAAAATATTTTACAATATCTACCTCCCTCCCCAATCACCACTTCAAATTAAGGTCCTGAGCCTGCAAAGACTTACGCATATGCTTAACATTAGGCACAGCGAGAATTCACATTGACATCAATGGACGGTGTAAAGTTACACATGTGTGTAAATCTATGTAATGCTGCATGAGTTATTGAAATTGATCAGTTTCCAAATCCTGAAAGGATCTACTCAGGAACTTCCTCGGGACTTACTTCATCAGCTCCGGGTCTTCTTTGTCATCTTTCGTGGGGGTTATCTTGATGCCACTTTTCTTGGCACGGGGGCAGCCTGACAGACTATGTTTAAAAAGAGAAGAAAGGCCCGTCTCATTGGCAGAATTACCGCTTCTAATATTCCCCTGCCTCACTCATCTTTCCCTTGAATGTACTGTAGTGTTTTGATCTCGCTCATTTCGGAGTCTCACATCATGAGGAGAAGTGAGGAGGGAAAAAAAAGAGCACATTTTGAGGGAGATGGATAGTAATTAATGGTGTCTAGATAAGGCGATATCTGCTAACAGACTGCAATGTTTAATGGAATTGTTGAAACAGAAGGCTTAGATCTCTTCTATTAATGTTCTAAAGTCATAATAGAAGTCATAAATAGGCAGCATTATCAACAGGAACATTGCATCAGCTAAAATCTGACCCTTTGTCTTTTATTCTGCTGAAGAGAGCTTCTAATCAAATGCTGGAAACATCAAAAAAAAAAAAAAAACAGAATAAAGAGAAGAAAAAAAAAAACAGAAAAAAGAAAAAAATAAACCTTTTTTTTTTAATTTAATAAAAAAAACTTTTAAAAAAAATCTAGAAAAAAAAAAAAAAAAAAAAAAGTCAGATTAAAGAGACGAAAATAGGCTTCAGTTGTCAGTAACATTAATGTTTTATTCAGAACTTTACAACTCTGCCCACTGCAGAGGAAAAAAATAAAAAGAGGCCATGGAACAAACTAATTTCAGTGAAGCTCTTACCTCCTATGTGATGCATAATTTCCTGTTATGTGACCAGAACCATCACAGCCAGGAGTTGGGCACCTGAGGAACAATGGGAAACAATGATTAGCAAGGGCTTGGCAGATTGATTGAAGGAAACATTAGGATAGCCCACTTTTTAAAGGAAGCGCTGGAGAGCATCTAACTGGATGCAGCTCTCTTTTTCCTTCCCTCCAGCCCCTCCAAAATAGTTCGTAATAATACACAACCCACGTTGTTCACACCGCAAATCCAAATGGAAACCATTTGAAAACGGGTAGATAGCGTTGTACAATTTAAACAAAAATAAAGTGAAAGGCTCAGGCCTATTTGATGATGGGCATTGGTGGGTGGAGCCCAAAACAGCAGAAGGCCTGTTTCTTTAGGTGTGGGAACAGAATCCAGGTATCAATTGAGTGAGGGGCAGGAAGACACACACACACACACACACACAAATGAACAGGGCTGGGGATGCAGGTCATAGGGTGAAAATAAGGGAAATCAGAAGGCGAGCAGAGAACCTTGGACAATGCCCACTGCTCCAAGAAAGAACCTGAGGAGTCAGGGGATACCACCCAGAGTAACTCTACCCAGGTCTGTGCATGTACAAGGGACTAGAAAAAAGTCGCATAGCCACACAGAACCTCCCCATCGAGCTTCCCTCCTCCTGGATTGATGGATGGCGAGGCTGATGAGAAGGTCTCGGCTCAGGCCTATATGAATTTATGGAGGGTGGCCCTAAATACACCAGGACAAAAGGCCCGCTCCTTCAGCCCAGAAAACAACTGATTCCATGGGACAACAAATGATACAGGGTTCAAAACAAGGGTATTGGATGGGGACTCTAAGCAGAGAACCCCAAACAGTGCCCACTGCTCGGTGAAGGAGTCCAAGGAGCCAGTGGATGCCACCCAGAGGACACGAAAAGATGAGGGAATGGAAGAAGGCCCCATAGTCACAGAAAACCTCCCTGCCAAGTTCCCTTCTCGTGGATTGGTAGATGACCATCTTGGCCAGTGCCAGGAGGAGGCTGATGAGTAGGTCTCAGCTCAAGACGGACAACTCTGGAGACTGAAGTTTACACACAGAACAGGTAAAGTGAGGGCTGCAAGAGTGCAAGTCCCCCCTGCTGTAATCTAATTGTCATTTTTATGTGTGTATTATCATTTGTATGCACTCATCACCATGGTAACTGAGCACTTCACAAATGCCAGTGAATTTAGCTTCACAGTGCCACCTTGAGGCAGGGAAATATTATTATCCCCATTCTACAAATGGGGAACCGAGGCACAGAGAAGTCAAGCGATTTGCTCATGGTCATTCTGTGGAAGAGCCAGGGACCCAGATCTCTAAATCCCCAGCCCGCAAATTAACCACAAGACCATTTGATTGTGACTGTGCCTTATCGCTGGTCTGACAGTACCTTATCTAGAGGTGAAAGGCTAGTTCAGTCTCCATGCTCATTCAGTCCTTTTCCTTTCTGGTAATACTACCAATCAGGGTCCTAGTTGCTTTCGGCTGTGGAACCGTTCTCAGTAAGAGCTGGCACTAAGACCGCTGTAGCGCTGCCAGTGCGGATGCTGTAAGCCAGGGGTCTCAAACATGCGGCCTGCGGGGTTATTTTCTAGAGCGGGTCTGGCCTGATGCGCAGCGGGGGCAGGGCAGGCTCCCTGCCTGCCTGCCTGCCCTGAGCCCCATGCTGCACCTTGCACTCTGACCCCCTGCACTGAACCCCCTGCTCCACCCCGCACAGCTCCCCCCACTGCCCTGAGCCCCCCCTGCACCCTGACCCCCTGCCGCACCCGTCACCCCTCCTGCATCCCAGACCCCAACTCCCTGCCCTGAGCCCCTGCAACAACCCTCTTGTACCCCCTGGGGGCAGGGAGGGGGCAGAGTTGGGGTGGGGATTTTGGGGAAGGGGTTGGAATGGGGGCAGGGAATGGGCGGGGCCTCGTGGAAGGGGTAGAGTGGGGGAGGGGCCGAGGGTGGCACGGGGGGAGGTGTCAGTAATGCGGCCCTCGGGCCAATGTACTAGTTCTCATGTGGCCCTCGTCATCATTTGAGTTTGAGACCCCTGCTGTAAGCCGACAGGAGAGAGCTCTCCAGTCGTCTTAATTAATCCAGCTACCGCTGCTCGTTGGGGGTATGCTGGTGGAACACAGCGCTGTCCACACTGGTGCTTAGATCGGTGTAACTTACGTTGCTCGGGGTGCGGTGGGGTGGCTTATTCACACCCCTGAGCGACATTAGTTATATTGACCTAAGCTGTAGTCCAAGTCACTTCACATGGGGCGTCATGAGTTTATGATTTTTTTTTTAACATTGCAATACTGCAAATCCTTCCTATACCAGCTATAAAGAAATGATTGGCTGTACATTTCTGCTCAGCTTTTGCCAGCTGTTCTTCATCTGAAGGTACAGCATCCAACATTCAAAAACATAAATGAAATTAAAGCATGAAAGGAAAAAAATAAGAGCACGGCAATGCAGCTCATTTCCCAACCTTTCTATGATCATTTAAAATGGCATGAAAGCTGGCTTTGGCTTAAACTGTTACCAAGCAAGAGATAATTGAGCAAGTCGAACAGTGAGTAATTAGGGCCATGGAAGCAGTGAAAAAAGTGTTGGAATATGAACTGTGATGAGCAGAACGCTCTGTTGCGAATGTTGTAGGTAATGCGGCAGAAATAAAAGTTGTCATGGGGACACACAAAAGATGCGAGTAGCTTTAGCAGAGGAAATGATTTACCTGCATGCCAGCCTGCAAATTAGCTAACAAAAGTTTTGAGTCAAGTTTCAGTATCTGAATGAGAACTCACTGGGGATATGTGAAATGAATTGGAGGTTTGCCATTTGTTTCCAATGGGAGTTTGAATACCAGAGAGAGAGTGAGAGAGAACTCCTTCCTGAAGATCCAGTCTCCTACACTTAGGCTTGTCTACACTAGAGAACACAGTCATTGGTGGCTAATTACAGGTGTAGACCCTACTCCTAGTGTAGACAGGCAGAGTGCTATAAGCTAGAATTTACACGAATGCAGCTCTCCCTGCCTAGCTGCCAGGGTAGGTTGCACCACTACAAACTACTGCTTATAGTGGCTTTGCCGGTCTACACTAGGGATGCACCAGCTCAGGTTACCCAGGTGGCTGTGGTTGGGTCACATCCCCAGGGTAGACAAACCCTTAGACTGTGAACCCTTCATCTTACCATTTACTCGTGTTGAGTGAACCTTGCTACACTGGTTGGACATTTTCTTAGTCCCTTCCTTTTAAGGCATATGGGCCAGATCCTGTGTGACTGAACCCCATGGGAGTTTTGCCACTGGCTTCACTGGGAGTAGAATTCATCCCTAAATGCCCAGCTATTTAAATATCTCCAAAATGTCCCCATAACATAATGCTCAAACGTGTAACGTGAATGTGGCCCCTGAGCCCAATCTATTATGAACACAACTACATAGTCACATCCCACACAGTCAACAATTTCGTTTTTGCCTACTACCGCGATGTACATCTCTGGCTTATTGGCAATACACTTGAGTGTCAGCGTGGAATCTACCATGATTAAAGCTGCACAATCCTCAGATAAATGCCTTTTTTTCATACCTTTTCTATAGGTGTCCAGACCAACTAAAGCGGAGATTTTGAAAGCTGCCTAAGCATTTGAACTAGAGCTGGTTGGAAAATAAAAAAACGTTGTGTGAAAATTTTATCCCTGTTTTGTCAGAAAATTTCACCTTTTTCAACCAGCTGTGATTTGGGATTGGAATGTCTAAAACTTTCAAACTACAGGCCTGGGAGACTACAGGGCACCAGGATTTTGCATTTTAAAATCTGAAAGTAGAGCTATTTCTCTGTAGTTCTAGGATTGTTTTAGATATGTATCACTGACGTCTAATTCCTTCTTGCCTCTCAGTGCCTTTAAAGAGGTGAAGAGAATTATCTGGTTTTTATTTTTAATTATCTTCAAAGAAATCATCCCTGACAGATACCTTGTATTGGATGTTTTGGCCTGCAGCTAATTTTTTATATCTGAGAGATTAACCCCTGAAATAGAATTTATAATGGTGCTGACATAGCCTGATCTAGAATTGTGAAAAAAGTGACACTATAATATCATTAATATCTTTGGAATCTATTTTCCCCTTTTATAAATGTGCTAAACCAGCACAGAAGCACAGACAAATAATAATACTCTATTAGGTTTGGAGATTTAGTGCTAGCCAGGATTTCTCTGGTTTGTATCACGGGTTGGTGTTAGCACCAGACCATTAATGTGTTCAGGTGAAAAATGTCAATTCGGGGTATCCATTGACCAACAAATTTTCTGAATAAATTACAGTTTCAGATACACCTGCAGCCAATACCTTTTTGCTGATCCACAGCGAATATGGTCAATGTTCCTAATAAAATGTAATGTTTCTTAGCAGTGGTGAAATAATCCAGTGGTCATTCTTTGGGCTACTATATAAAGCATGGAGGAATATTGCTTAAATAAAGATATCTTTAAAAATATTATCTGTATTGTACTTAGCACTGACCATATAGATACTGTGCTTTCCACCTCCATAACAAGGTATTAACATTAACTAATTCAACCTCCCAATACTTCTGTGAGGTAGATAGTCATTTCCCCCTCCATTTTATAAGACAGAAAAACATATGTAAACAAAACAAAATGAAAAAACACCACAAACACCACTTTTTCAAATCTCAGAAAAGGTTTGAATTTGATTTAGTTTGATGTTTCAGCTCAGTTCTTATTTTATCCAAACTACTTTTGCCCATCCCTACCTTGTGATGGAAAAAACCCCAATTCCATGAGGAAACACATTTCAGATTCAGGATTCCAAGGTGGTATTGCTATAAAGGGTAGTATTAGGATATGGCGGGGGGGAGGGTGTTGTTGTTGTTAAGGGGGTGGAATAGGTTTTAATACCATGCTAGTAAAGCAGCTATAGCTGTGCATACCTAACATCCCTAATTAGGTAGGACAGTCTCTAGGTTTTTGAATAAAATATTTACCATTTTCCCCTCCTGTCCCTCCATTAAGCATTCCTGGCCCAAAGTATTTCAGTGCAGTTAAAAGCCATGTCCCTATTTTTAACTTGGCACTTCTGGAAGAGGCCCCAAAAGCTGTACAGACATGAGGAAAAATGCAAAGAGAAAGGAATTACACCAGTCTGACTATGGAAGAATCCCTTGTGTTGTAATAAAACGTTTATTTTTAACATGACATGGGGCCACATTTTTAACACGTAAGCCTCAAGGACCACCTATAAAACTGTATTTTCAAGTGGTTATAGTATTTGTGGATACAACGGCTGCTTATATGCAATTGACCAATTTACATTTGCTCATATGGCACATTTGTTGCACATGCTCACATAAACTCAGTTTTGTTGTTGTTGTTTGTGCAGCCACATGTTGGGCAGCCATGTTTGGAAATTCGATACTGTAGGATCAGAAGTGAGAGAAAAAGTGATTGTGAAGAGCCTGATAATTCTGAGTCAATAATACATTCACCCAAAGACACACCTGAGTATCTGTTAAGCCTCTCAATATTTCTTAACTAGAACGTTTAGAGGTATTTAAACAGGTAAGCGTGAACACATAGCTGACCAGATGTTAAAGAACCACAACATGCGTTAGGATGGGGGGAGAGAGAAGTAGGTTATGCCTCATCAGGAGTAAGGAGCTTTCCAATAATTATATAAATTAGACTTCTGTTTCATCCAAGGGAGGCTCACAACTTAGACATGTCCTAGGATAAGGCTGAATTGCAAATTTGGTTGGAAAATAGGTTTTTGAAAATTTCAGTTAGTTGAAAACCCAATTTTCCACAGAAAAACAGTTTCAACGCAAAAATTTCAATCAGCCCGACTGAATTATCTATTGGGAGGTAGTGTATAGATAGGAGATCTGGGTTTGATTCTTCGCTCTGCCGCTCACCGTCTATGTGACCTTTGAAAATTTAAGTAATTTGCCCATTCTTCTGTTTCCCCTCCTATCCTCTTTGTCTTGCCTATTTAGATGGTAACCTCTGATGGGCAGAGACAGCCTTTTGCTATGGGCCTGAGCAGAGCCTAGCACAAATAGACCCCACTCTCAGCCGAGACGTCTGTATGCTACTGTAATACAAATTCAATTCATAATAATCATTATAATATCCACACAAAGCTTTGCTGAATCCGAAGTGAAAAATCAACCAACAAGAAAACAAATGGCACAGACTGGCTCCATCTAATATATATAGAATAATGATTCACAACGCTTTATTTTCCAGGTTTTTTGGAGGGATATTAAGTATCCTGCCACACCTTTGAAAAAAAAATCTAGAGGTTTGGCCTGAATTTTCCTTAGGGGAGAGAAGTTATGACAAAACCTGACAAACTCTCCTATAAGCCTTAGGACCCTTATTAAAGATTCTGAGCCAGAACCTCAGCTTGGGTAACTCAGTGTAGCTCCATGAAGGTTAATAAGGATTTGGGAGGGGTGAAACCGTGGGTAGAGTAGAGTTGCATACAGATTTCAAATACGGATTCCTTGATTCAGGATCATATATGAAAACAGTGCAAATCTGAACTCCAATGAAATGCTTTGGGCCAGTTAACTGACCTTGCTGGAACTGTACCTATTTGCAGCAGCTGAGAATCTGGCCCTATGAATGATGGTGCTTCTGCTCCCTCTCTCTCAAATCAAATTCCCATTGAATGTATGGAATTATCTCCCATTTGGTAATGAACAACCAGGGGTGGCTCCAGGCACCAGCGCAGCAAGCGCGTGCCTGGGGCGGCGTGCCGGTCACCATGAGGGCGGGAGTTAGGCAGCCTTCGGCGGCACGCCTGTGGGAGGTCCGCCGGTCCCGTGGCTTTGGTGGCGGGTACGCCGAAGGTGCGGGACCGGCAGATCGCCCGCAGAAACGCCGCCAAATCCGCGTGACCAGCGGACTGCCCTCAGGCATGCCGCCAAAGGCCACCTGACTGCCCTGCTTGGGGCGGCAAAAAACATAGAGCCGCCCCTGAGAACAACACCCAATGTTTTGCATGTAATTAGGTTGTTAGGTTGCTTGCAAAGAGCTAGCTTCCTTCTGATACTGATGGGTAACAAGTATTTTACCAACAGCAATTCTGTACAGGACAGCTATGGCACTATATAAAGTGTTTTAGGATAAAGATAATAGTGTTACATAGGCTACAGGAGCTCAGAAGGAGACACCAAGTGAAAAGAAAACAGCACATTTCCACTGCAGCCAACAAAAATCTGCCCCGGGGTTAAAATCATACATCTGACCATCGTCATGGAACTTCATCTTTCACAATGAGACTTTCTGAGCATTGATGCTCTTGTCTTATTATTAATATTATTATAATTTATTATTTGTATTACCACAGCGCCTAGGAGCCCAAGTCATGGACCAAGAGCCCATCTCAACCTTTCTCCCTCCTCCCCAAGCCAAGGGAAGATGTTTGGCTCACACACTGGGGATCCATGCAGGCAGATTTTGATTGGGTTTTCTAAAGATGAGGGGTAGGTGGAAAGCAAGAGCATAGCACAAGGGAGAAAAAAAAAGGAGATTTGAGTTTAGCGCAAACATACTTGAGGTCAGCAGAGTGGGCAGCCATGAGGTTTCTGAGGCTCTTGTCAGCAAGAGGACAACCAGAAAGGCTGAAAGAGAAGAGATGGAATATCTGGATAAGCCCAAAAAAATTAAGAAAAAGAGGGGAAGGGCGAAGGAAGGGGAGAAGGAAACAGAACCAAACCATCCACACGATTAAAAAAATATGTAGTCTAAAGAGTCAGAACCTGAAACAGTAGGTTAACAAACCTGCGGTGAGAGGCATAGTTTCCCGTGATGTGTCCACTGCCATCACAGCCTGGGGTAGGGCAACTGAACAAAAATAATAAAAAGTGTAAGTGCCAAAAAGAAATAAACTCATTGAAAGATTCATGCATGGGTAAAAACAGGGAAGAAACCTTTCTTGGTTGAAAAATAAAAGAAATTTGGTTGGTGTGTGGGCCAGGGCTCTTTGGGTAGGTGAAATACCGGTGTGTGTTCTGGATTTTGTTAGCACAACTTAGCATTGGCCTTGATATTTACTTATTAGTGTTAGCAGCCGGTAGAAATCTGTACAAAAAAACCCAACTGCTTCCTTTTTGGCCTGCTCTCTTTCCCTTTGTTCCCAAAAGGCCACGGCGACCTTTCCTTCTTTGAAGGAATTTGTGGCAAAATATGAAGAATGAGTAAAAAGATTGTTTGCTTGGGGTATTTTGTTTGTGCTTGTAAAAGGAGGAACTAAAACAGCCTGAATGTGGAAAACCAGCTTTACAGACTCAGTATTGCCAGTTCTCGTGGTTTTTATCGCAGTCTTGTGACATTTTGTTAGAATCCCCAGCTGCTGGAATCAGGTGATTATCTGCGAATCTCAGCTTTCATAGGATTATAAAAGTGTAGGACTGGAAGGGACCTCAATAGGTCATCTAGTCCAGTCTCCTGCACTCAAGGCAGGACTAAGATAAATAACTAGACCATTCCTGACAAGTGATGGTCTAGTTATTACAGCTTGCTTTCTTTCAGTTTCTAGCACTCAAGGCTACAGAGAAAAGCTTGAAAATGTGAATCCTAAATGTTCCATCACCTGAAGGCAAATTAAAAGACCTCAATTTAAAAAATAAATCTCATGATATCTGGGGCTTCACTCATCATTCTTGAACACTTCGAGTTGGCCATACTGCAGACAGATGGTTTATCCTGGCTTTGTTTTATATCTCTACCTTCCCACTGCTTCCCAATGAATCTTATAGGCAATGGGACACATGTAGTGGTTTGTGATATTCAGGAAATAAAATCCATAATGCTGCATGTGATTGCACAGCTACATTTGCTTACGGTGGGGCTTACTATAACAGTAGCCAAACACAGTCTTCAAATATGGATTCCTGGGTTCAGGACCATATCTGGGAATTAGCGCTAATGAAATATTTTGGGCTGGATTCTGGCTCCCACTGCATGGGTTTGCAAGGTACGCTGGGGATTTTAGGGAGCCATCTTCCTCCATCCTTGGTGCTCCATAAGGACCAATGCTGGGAGAGCCAGAGTGCCACTAGCAGTGGTCAATATGCCAAATGGGTCGGGACATGGCCATGGCTAGTGAAATGAGGCCATGTGACCAGGTAAAAGCAGCAACTTGGAAAGGGTTGAGAGATCCCTGCCTGTCACATGTCTGGGTGGAGTATATAAGGAAGAAGAAGCTGGGTCCAGGGGTATCACAAGGGAAGATCGTGACCTCTTGAGGCCTTTGGGTATTATGGTCAGTGATTTCAGCAGAGCTGTTTTATTCTGTTGTCTGACTATCGTGGTAAACAATAAAAAGCACTCTGAGGAAAGGGACTTCTGAAGGACTTGGGTGTGGAGTTTGCTTCCCTTCCCTGGCTGCTGGAAAAGCCCACCAGCCTCCAGGCCAGTGCTGGGGGAGCACAAGCTACACCTCCAAAGAGAGGTGCAAGATCTGCTTCTTAGTGAATTCCCACAGCAGGGCAGAGGCATTGTGTCTGCCTCGGCACTCCTGTAATATGGCCTCCCTCCCTGCCCTTCCATAGCACAGCTTGCCCAGCCATGGTACAGATCTCTACATAGAAACAAGCCCAGTGACTTAATGGTAGCATTAGATGGTATTATTCATGGTTCCAAATTTGGGGTCTGGTCCTATCCCTAACTGCCCAAGCTGAAGGGATTGTGGGAGTTCTGCAAAGACAATGCCCCCAACCCTTATGGGGAGGGAGTGTCTTGCATCAGCCTGGAGCAACCATGGTAGATGCACAAAGCAATAATGACAGGATCTGGTCAGAGGGTTGAAAAACATGGCACCTTTGAGGGTGTGGGAGAGTAGAAATATCAAGAATGGGTTGGGGGAAAGGAGATGGCTATACTCTGAACACAGAAAGAAGCAACCCACATCAATACACAGTGCACAGGAACTGGATAGATTCTTAGTACTAGGGCAGGACAACTACCTCATAGTTTGTCCATGATGATGGTCCTGGGACTCCCGTTTCTGATGCCCCACAAAACAACTTGTTTTATACCCTCTGCTGTTGCTGCCTCCACTCCCTCTGCATTATGGGACAAGGGGCACATGCAAAGGTTACTCACACCAAGATACAGAAAGGAAAATCAACCTAAAGTCCCCCTCACAGTAATAAAAAGAATATATCATCACTGGAACTACGATTAATTTACAGATGTTCAACCAACAATATACATTGCTGTGTGGCACTAGAAACTTGTATGGGTACGGTGGCCATAAACATGACAGAAATGGGCAACACTTTCCCAGACACTTGCTACCAGCATCTTGAGGTGACGCAGGGAGCACATGGGCATGAAAATTTAAATCGACATGACAAGTGAGTTTGCTCATGAATGGGCTGCATCCAGTGCATGTAGTTCATGGCAGAAGGATCAAAGAGGACTTGTGTCCATGGTATGGAAAGGAAGCTTGGAGCTGCCTAGAACACCAGGAAGATTCCTTTCCAGAGTTGTTCATTGCTATGAAACAGTCTCTCTTTGAATACTGCCAGGGGTCAGGGAGAACTTGGCTTACCCACCCCAGAAATTGATGCTCACACCATTTCTGGAAAAAAAAAACTTTAAAATTTTGCCTATGGGGTTCGTTATGTGTTTTGCTCATGTAGGAAGTATTCTTTCCCCTCTTCCTCTGCTCACCTGGGACTTCCACATATCCCCCGTTTCCTCCCAGCATCAAATACTCCCCTTCAAACCTCCCACTTGCATAGCCAAATAATGAGCTAGACTGAAAGAGGTTAGCGAAATGAAGGCTTGTTGAGCCCTTCCTACCTTATATTTACAAAGGTCAGAGTTACTCTGGAAATAAGCCTAGGAATTATAGCTCCATTGACAAGTTTACTTTACTTTGGGGATCAGCCTGCCACACCTTGCATCTGAACAGTTTACTCCAGCATTCCTTTAGAGTAGAGCTGGGTCCAAGCTGCAGTGTTTGGATCAGGATCTGAATTCTCCCTTTTGTTCACATGAGCAATACGGATCCAGGGTGCTTCATCTTCTCCTAAGGAGAGGGATCCAGCTGAAAAGTTCTGGATCCAAACTTTCCAAGTTTCTACGGGCATTTAGGTCTGGGGTTTGGTTCAGGGCCCTCTCAAATGTAGCACACAGTGCAATAGTATACAGTTGCGTTGTTTCAATAGTATACATTGTAGGGGCTTTATAGCTTTCTTCAAGGGGACTGTACTCACTGCTCTGTGTTGCCAGAAAACACTGTTCCACTAGCTGAGATGGCTGCAAAACTGCCTGCTTACCTGCCTTTTCAACTCTGAGCATGATGCACTGGGTTCTGAGCACCAGCTGGGAGGTACCAAGATCCCTTGGCCACATTGACTTCAAAGAATAGTTTAGCATCTCATACCTGAGGAGGCAGGGTGCTGGGCAAACTCTTTCCCTCGGTCACTGCACAAGTATTAATTTTAAGGGGGAATATATAGGGGAAATGGTCTCGGAAATTACGTTTTCACAGACACTTTCATGAATCCTGGGACTACAGAACTTTCAACTAGGTTCTTTTAATCATTACACAGTTCCAGGAAGACCATCTGGGATAACACTTCATCTTGATAATGAGAAGTAGTCAGAGGATGAGATTTCTCTTGAAGCTTTTGGTTTGAAGTGTTTGGATTAAATAAGACCATCACAGTATGAAACAATGTTGAACATTTTAGTTGTGTGGTTTTTTTTGAAACTGAGTCCCACCTCCCCACCCTTCCCGGCGGTCCTGAGCATTTTATACATTTCACTTTGGCTCTGCCGTCAAAGAGGCAGGACTTACGTGAGTAGCTCCTTCTTGATGTCCTTGGGAAGGAATTTAAGCTTGAAGTTGGTTAAGGTAACTTCCCCAGGGTATTTCCGTTCTTCAAAGTTCTCCTCTGACACTTCCTGCTCATCTGCTTCCGAGGAGGCAAACGAACGGGCTGCGGGCTCTGACTGTAAGAAACCAGCGGGAATAATACCTTTACTGATCTACATCCTGTGAACATGGCAGGGCTGAGGGATCAAAAGAGTCCATCTATCCATCGTAGGCCTTTCTATAGCTCCCATCATCTGAGCGCCTCGCAATCTTTAGTATATTTATCCTTCCAACAGCTCTGGGAGGCAGGGAAGTGCTTTTATCCCGTTTTTACAAATGGGAAACTGAGGCACAGAGAAGCTAAGCAGCTAGCCTACAGTCACACAGGAAGTCTCTGGTGGAGCAGGGAATTAACCCTAGGTGTCCCAAGTTGCAGGCAAGCCCCTACTCACTGGATCATCCTTCCTGTCAGGAATTCTAAACGTCCAGTGCCTGCTTCAGGTCTTGCTCCCACTGGATGTTCGCCAGTGTAATTTCACTTGAGTTGCGGCTGATTTACCCTGATGTCACTGAGATCAGAATGAGGCCGCTGGGTTTATAGTAATTGATTATTTCTCCCCTCCGCTTGGCTCATTATTTCACACTGCAGTCCTCTCAGTTAGGAGTGGGGAAACTCTTTTTGCCTGACCTTGCAGCCACTTGCACATTTTGGGTCAGATCTTTGTCCCCAGCTCCAGCCTTTCCGCCCCACTCCAGTGACACACAGGAGAAGGAGAAGGGCCCTAATGTGATGTTAAAGAATTCCTAGGGGATGCAAAGCAGGCATAGCCAGCTTTATGCCATCTACTGCAGAGGGGCTTTCCTGAGCAGGCTGGGATAGGAGGGGGCATGGTCTGAGCATGCTGTACTGTGGTGATCCCTGGCTGGGGGAACAGTCCCTAAGGGATCACTCCAATCTGCATAATTTAGAGCAGCTGTTAGGTTGCTCTAAATCAGGAGTCGGCAACCTTTGGCACGCGGCTCGCCAGGGTAAGCACCCTGGCGGGCCGGGCCGGTTTGTTTACCTGCCACATCCGCAGGTTCGGCAGATCGCGGCTCCCACTGGCCGCGATTCGCCGGCCCAGGCCAATGGGGGCGGCGGGAAGTGGCGGCCAGCACATCCCTTGGCCCGCACCGCTTCCCGCCATCCCCATTGGCCTGGAGCGGCGAACCGCGGCCAGTGGGAGCAGACACGGTAGGTAAACAAACTGGCCCGGCCCGCCAGGGTGCTTACCCTGGCGAGCTGTGTGCCAAAGGTTGCCGACGCCTGCTCTAAATTATGCTGGGTGGCTGATTCAGCCCCAGGACTAGGGTGGCAGAAAGGTGGCTTAGAGCTGTTTCCCCTTTCACCCTGTATCCTGTGCTGGGTGCAGTCTGACTGGACCCAGGGATCTGGGCCAGAGGGTTTAAAATTTGCATGCAACTTCAACCTTATCATGTCTGCATTCTACTCGGGAGAGACGGTGAGAAAAGGAGCAAGAAAGAGGAAGAAAACAACTAACAAAACCAGAATGAGAACTGGAGAATGGAGTGGGCAGAGTGAAAAGTGAACACAGAGAGGCTGAAAAAGGATAGAGAGGCAGGGAGAGAGAGAGAGACAGAAAGTAAAACTAAACACAGTATGGGTGGGATTTTCCAAAGTACTCTGCACTGGCCTAACTCTTCCCCCATTGAAGTCAATGAGTGTAAAGTGATCCAGGAAGCCAAGAGTCCCTGGTCTCTAGAGTGGAAACTTATTGCTACAGATCACTCTCTGCATCTCAGTGGAAAAGGGACCTAATTGCAAGGTCCCATCACTGCTCACCTCTTCTGGCTCCTCTTCCCGCTGACGATTTGGTTTGGTGTAGTCAATGGGGCCATCCCATTCATCCTGACGGGAGGTCTGGCTGGACTGGGGTGAGGTCATGGTGCTGCTAGTGGCACTCGTGCTATTTTGGCGTTGGGACACATCTGGGGACTTCACACTGGGACTGCTGCTGCAGCTGCTGCTGCTGGGGAAGGTGCTCTCTCGTTTGCGATGCTTGTTCATGCTTAGGTCCAGCGTCCCGTTTTCATCCACCTCAATGTCCATAGACTGAAAGATTGGGGACAAGATTCTAAATGAGCCACTGCAATCAGTTTTCGGAGTGTATCTTTTGCTTTACAGGGCAGTCAGGGGCCTAAAGCAACATGGAATAGTGGGCACCAGCATGCCACCCACTTTCTTCAAGCTCTGACAGTCAATGGGATGGAATGGAGCAGAATGGGATTTCCTCTCAGAAATGTCCCACGTGAATATGTCCCAGCAGTGAATGCAACATCTGTTTGGAAGGGATGCTTGTCTCGGACAGGGACTTTGTATAGTCACGTCTCCATACCATGTTCTACGGACACTGTTGTGGATACTGACCTATTTTCCAAATGAACAATCAAGGACTTTTTCTTCAAAACAGGACATGCCGAATAGGCAAAAGATGTACAGTGTACAGCAAAAGTGGCAACGGAGCTAGCACAGGCATTCATTATTTTAGCATGCCAGCGTGTTACTCCCAATTTTTCAGTTTAGGCCTCATTCTGCAAGGTGCTCAGTGCCTTTTGATGGTGCTAAGCGCCTTCTGTTGCTTGAAGTACAAGCATGCATTACTACTAAGGAAGTGCTCCACTCCCTGCCATACCAGGGGCTTGTGAAGTCAAGCTCCAATAGTACCAGTCCCATCTAGGCTTCAAGCAGAGCTGGTCAGGAATTTTCTCTCTAAATGTTTTCCACAGAAAATTTGGCTTCCTCAAATTTGACATTTTCCATTTTGAAAAAAAAAAAACAAAAAAACCCCCCACCATTGATTTTCCACTGGGAAAAATTGAAATGAAACATTTAATTGAGGGTAAGTTTGACAATAACCTGCATTCACTTGAAGGCCAAGACCATAACAGGGTTCAAAAAAAAGAACTAGATAAATTAATGAAGGATACGTCCATCAATGGCTATTAGCCAGGATGGGCAGGAATGGTGTCCCTAGCCTCTGTTTGCCAGAAGCTGGGAATGGGCGACAGGGGATGGATCACTTGATGATTACCTGTTCTGTTCATTCCCTCTGGGGCTCCTAGCACTGGCCACTGTCAGAAGACAGGATACTGGGCTAGATGGACCTTTGGTCTGACTCAGTAGAGCCAATCTTATGTTCTTATGATGCGGTGCTTCATGGGAGCTGTAGTTAAGATGCCTCCTGTTCTCCTCTATTGGCTGGGCTTCCTGACTAGAACTACATCTCCCACCATGCATCAGGGTCTCCCCTCTGCCATTTCGGAAATCAAAACTTTTCAGAGCCTTTTGTTCTGTATAAAGTTTTGGCATTTTGTCCTGATTCGGGATGAAAACTGATGTCAAAATATCCACATTTCCCTCAGGCCAGAAATTCTGATTTTCAACCAGCTCTGGTTTTAAGTACATTGAAGTTAATTACCTGAAGATCTTTTTTGAACAGTGTGCCGTTTACATTGGCTTTGCTGTTGTGGATTTTTCCCTCAGCCCCCTGCATTTCCTTGCAGTCAAGCTCACCTTGCTGGGAAGATCCTGCTGCTTGGTACTGAGATTTTCTGGCATTTCCCAGCAGCGGGTGGAGAGATTTAAAATGGCGGTGGCAGCCATATGTGCGGCCTCGGCATCGTGAGAGTAGTCGAAGCCTGTAGAGGAAGATGAAGTGCTCTTCACATAACTGCTGGAAGGGCTGTGGCTGGGGGAAGAGGCCTTTGGAAAAGGTTTAGCTGCAAAAAGGGAACAATACAGGGCTGATATATAACTTACACATGAGAGTTATAGGCAAATCAACCCCATGCCACTGATTTCAGTGTATATGGATACTGCAATGGCAACCCTTTACTTCTTATAAACCTGTCAGCAAATGTAGTGCTCCTGGAACTGAAGGTGCTAACAGCTGGGGACTCAAGCTCAGGTGTGCTAAGGTGAAAGGTTCCTGCATTAACTGACTGCACCATCAAATTCCCAGAATACTGTAGCCCTCTTCATTAAAACCATACTCCTCTACTATCCTGAGGGCTTCAAAGGGGAAACAATAGTGAATCTTCACCTGTTTTTTTTCTCCTTTGCTTTCTCAAAACTTTTACATCATATAATTATACAAACATATATAATTGTATTTTTTTTTTAAAAAATCACATTTTAACAGCAAAACCATGCCAATCACAGCTATAAAATGTGACTTTCTGATGATGACAGCAGTGAAATATGGCTCTTCTGACAGCTGGTGTAGCTGAACTAAATCTCCTAGAATATATTCATGCTGTCTAGACCTACATTGCCCTGTACATTACTATAAACTGAGTCTGACCCTGCCAGGCGCCGAGCACCCTCGACTCCCATTGAAACTCCGTGTCTCCGTGTAGGCGGAGGGGTTTTCTCACATGGATCCACCTGCAGGATGGGCTCTGTACTTCCAAATTTACATGCCAGATCCTGATGTTCTTGGTCAATTTTTCCTTTGCCCTTGTCCAACCAAAACTCCCATTAACGTCAGTGGGAGTTTTGCCTGCGAAAGGCCTGTAAGATTTGGCCTATGTTCACGAAGCAGCTTGACAAGCTCAGATGAAGGTGCCATAGCAAAGCAAAATGATTTTATTATTCCCATTATGAACTCTAAAAATAAGACAATATAAACTGCTAAGCTTTTCGAGGACCGCTTCCCCCCTCATTGTGTGTGTGCATAATGCCTATTGACATTAATAGGAGTTATGTGCACACATCCCTCTGGATGAAGAGCTCTTTAAAGTAAGTCCTTAATGAAAGGAACAGATTTGCCTGCTATGATTGGCAATCATATTAATCTTGTTGCTCTGATTAACCCATGGGAGTCTTGCCCAAATGGTTATTCTGGTGCGTTACTTTTTTTTTTTTTTTTTTAATTTCTGTCCAGTTTAATCCATGTATTTTGGTGGGGTCGGGGTATTTGCAAGCATAACCTGACAATATCCAGAATGGTGAGATGCCAATTTCAATTTCACACTGTACACTCAGCGATGCTTTTCCATTTCAGAAGTATTGCTAGCACTAATGGACTTGCAATCAGCAAATTAGTAAAAATGAGTGATGAGAAAAAAATAGAAGGGATTATCCTAGTGGGGCTGCTGGAATTATTTTTGTCAGTACAATTACCCTGAAAATTCTTTGCGAATATTGCAAATAACACAATCTATTCAGCAGCAGAATCACTTGTGCTGGGAAACAAATTACTTTTCCATCAGCCCTAACCCAGGATGACAGTGGCAGTTGTGCTCTCTGGCCTCCATCCAATTTCATTGTCTGATCCTTTACAGATTTAGTACTGTAATAAAAGGGAGCTTCCATTGTAGTGCAACAACCAGGATGCTTTCAAGCATGAGCACTTTTTAGAGAGCAGCTGCGTCAGGATTAAACAGGACTCTGAAAGTGGGATTAGCTACAAAGAGAAAGCCCTCTTGAGGCTACTGACTTCTGCAAACTGGTTTCCTAAATCTTTTTTTTTTATGCTTTAAAAGATGGATTCAGCATGCATGTGTGGAGACTAATGGAGTAGGAACATTAAACAGTGAAACCGCATGAGTCTGCACTGGCCATCCACTACAGAGGTGTAACATACGATTGCTAATTTTAGCCCACCATGTCCATCTCAACTCCTACACCTAAAGGTCCATCCTCAGGGGGGTTATTTGATCATTTCATTTTATACATGCATCTAATTGGAGGCTTCCTTTGGTCAATGGCTCTGCCAAGTCATGCAAAATCCTTGGTAGATAAGAGTGGTAGGTAGATAAGATAGATAAGATGTTAGATAACTGATGGCTAGACGGTGTATGATTAATACAATATAATACATGAGACAAACAGAATATCTTAGTTAGATATCAGATAGAGAAGAGATAAAATATAAGCCAACTAGCTAGAATAGAAACAGATGGATGAATGGAGGAATATATATGAGTTGTAAGATATTGGGGACAAACTGGAGGCTACTGTGTAATTTATCCCACCTATAGATATTGTTCAGATGAACGTACCCAAGGCTGGATGCAATTCTCCCCAAAGCTGAAGCCAAAGAAACTGTCCTTTGGGCTAAGGACTCCATAGACAGCTGTTCTTATTTGTCCCATCCCCTTCACTCAAACACACCCTCCCAAGAGCCACAGTATTTTCTGGCCTGTGATATTTGCTGATAAAGTACAGAGCACTCAGCACCAAACCCCTCACTCGTCCCAACTTACATTTAAAGGCTTTCGGTGAGGTTTCGCTAGTCTGAATCTTTGGGGCAAGCATGCGTTTGCCAAAAACCTGAGCATCAAAACTTGCATAATCGAAGGTGACCTTGGAGTACTTCTCCAGCTCCTTGGCCAGGTTGGCCCTAGGGGTTGCTGGAACCATGTTGGGCCTGTAGCTCCCATACTGAGGAATCTCCAGCTGCTTCACAAAGCACATAGGCCTGCAGATTAAAAAAAAAAAGAACCAAAACCTAACAATCAACAACACTTCTCTTTCATTTCCCCGCTTTGTAAGTGATTCACAGTGAAAGCGCCAAGCCATATCTTTTCTCCAGAGGATGGTTTACGAATATTATGCCCAAAACAAAGCAGGATCATTTCTTCATAACTCCGTTCATGGGTTTATCAGGTTTTCCTTACAAAATACGATGTGGTCCAGATTCTGATTTCATTTCCTCCAGACTCACACCAGAGAAACAGAGATCAGAATCTGACCCTGAGCTTCTAAAGAGTAGGGCTGGAAATTTCACATTCGTAATTCTTGCACTGGATCCAGTGATGTTAATTGCATAAATCACAATGCAACCTTTTATTGTGGGACACGGTGTCTATGTTTTCTCTTTGCCAATAGAAATAAAATCTTGGGGTAGTGCTGTCCTTTGGGAGAGTTGAAAAGAAATGGCATTAAATATTACAAAGAGAGCAGAGTTAAGCTCAAGTCACCACTGTAGGTTTGACTCCACAGTGAATATGAACACACAATAAAGGAAGGCCGCTACCCTATCTGCAGAGTCTCTTTTAATGACCCACTTCTGCTGTGCAGCCCATAGTGAATCAATTTGGCTTGCATATAAATTGCCTATTGTTATTCCCCTTCCTCTAACCTCTTTCCACTGGTTATTCCTTAGACTGTGAGCACCTTGGGCTTAGCACATAGTGGGGACTACCACAAATAAATAAATAAATCAATAAATAATGCTAATGGTCTTTTTTTTTTTTTTTTCTTCCAAAGATGCTGAGCACTCACAACTCCTGCTGACCTGAGTTTTCAGCTGTTCTGGAAAAAAAAAAAACCCATCAGAGCTTGATGCTTCGCTGAGCTGTGGCACATCAACATTTAGAAGGGTTTGCACAGCAGTCTTGCCTTAGTGCTCTCATTGTAAACTAACTAACCATATTACAATCCAGGTATAGCATCATGAATCACAAAACTGTGTAGGCAAGGAATCATCAGGGACATCCTTAGTGCTGGCCAGTCCTCATCCCAGGCAGATCAGATAAAACCAAAACAAATCAATCAAATCATTCAAAAATGATTACACTCCCTTCGAACCAACGGGGTCCCATTTCTGCGAGCCATGTAGTCAAAGAAAGACAAGTGTTGAGGTTTATTTAAAAAAAGCTGCGACTGAATAATTTGTATGTGGCCTTAAAAAAAAAAACAACCCCCTACTTATAATGCTAATATAATAGCCATAATTCTCAGGCAGTTTGCATTGTAGTGTAATCAGCACAAGTGCCTTCTGCTGTACTGTTAAAACCCTTTGGCCTGTAGCCTCAGCATTAATTGATGCTACAGAAGCAATTCATTGTCCTGGATGCCCTCCATGGGATCATCAATTAAATATCCCCGCACCTTGGAGAGACCTATGATCACAATAACAGGCATCGGCAGTACCAAGATACAGCAGTACATGGATGGATTGTGACAGGGTGCTTTTTGCAACAGATTTTACATTATTTTATTTTGGGTGGGAGTTGGGGTTGGAAGAAATGTTGTTGCAAATCCTTTGTTATAAATCTAGCATACCTGAGTATCCGGTCAGAATTGGAGCTACTCTTAGAGGGGTCACCGGCCTGCGGCTGTTGTTTTTCATGAGATTTGGCTAATTTTTCAGCAGCGGCTATGGGGCACCCAGATAAACTGTATGGAATTAAAAGAGAAAGAAAGAAAAAGCTAAGCATGAGGAACTGGGATGAAGATCTCCATATGCTTTACAGACCAGGATATGCACTGAGCCCATGAGAAAATCTCTTTATTTTTATTAGCAACAAGAGTCCTGTGGCACCTTATAGACTAACAGACGTATTGGAGCATAAGCTTTTGTGGGTGAATACCCACTTTGTCAGACGCATGTAGTGGAAATGTCCAGAGGCAGGTATAAATATGCAGGCAAGAATCAGTCTAAAGATAACGAGGTTAGTTCAATCAGGGAGGATGAGGCCCTCTTCTAGCAGTTGAGGTGTGAACACCAAGGGAGGAGAAACTGCTTTTGTAGTTGGCTAGCCATTCACAGTCTTTGTTTAATCCTGAGCTGATGGTGTCTGGAAATTTCCACTACATGCGTCTGACGAAGTGGGTATTCACCCACAAAAGCTTATGCTCCAATACGTCTGTTAGTCTATAAGGTGCCACAGGATTCTTTATTGCTTTTTACAGATCTAGACTAACACGGCTACCCCTCTGATACTTTATTATTAATTATTAATTATTATTATTATTATTTGGCATTCAGGCATCCACAGTGACATTGCTCAGAAACAAAAGTTCAGAAGCATTCAAAGAACCAGGATATGGATGAAAAAATATCAATAAACTGGGTCGAGTTCCTCAAAGAGAGAATGAGGGAGGTATGGTTCATTTGGAGAAGTTTTAATAAATAAATGGAATTCCTTCTCCTTACTTGTTCTGGTTCCTTGCTTAAGCAAACATTTCCAGGGATGATTTCAGTGGAAAATGTGCTTTGTAGATGTGCAGTTGTGTCAACATCTACTTGTACTGGGGGGTTTGAGTGTGACTTTTACACACGTTTGCCAGGACCTACATGGATGGGGCCTGAGTGTGGCTTTTAAGCCACAGCTGTCCATAGGCTGTGGTGTGGCGCTGCCCTGTCCCAAAGGAGTCCCAAAAAGATTCTGCCTTGAGAGAGGCACAGTCCCTCTTGGCGCAGCTCCTTGGACATGGGACAGATTGCACCCCTGGGTGTATGAGCCCAATTCCATGGGCCATTGCTACAAGGGTGGGTGATGGAGCCAGGACCCTTTGTGGAGTCCTGTTTTCTGCAGGGGAACAGAACACACCCACCCCGTGTAGGGAGTGAAGGAGCTGCTGTTTTGGGCAGCCATGAAAGGGGTGGGGAGGAGAAGCTACTTATTCCCCGTTCTGCCCTGGAAAGGCTGAAGAGGAGCCACTCACAGCCTAGGCCAGGCAGATCCTGAAATGCTTGCTATGATTGGCTGTAACTCAGTATTACAGGAGAGGCTCCCATTTTAGCACAGCTGGATCCTCCAGGCCTTGACCATCCCCCTTCAGATGTTTGCAGTGGGGATCCTGCCCCTTCCTATCCTAGCTTGGGGGGGGGGGGCGGAGGTCCTGAGAAGGTTTGGGCCACCTCTGTGTCAAGCACCTCTCTTCTGTCCCCACTGTGGAAGCTCCTCTGTCAGAACTCTGCAGGGTTCAGTCTCCACGCACATGGAGATGGCGGGGCAAGAACAGGTGAAGGGTAGGGCCTGGCGTAGGCAGCCCGCAGGCTGACACTGGATTCTCCCCTTCACACCTGCAGGGGAAGCTGGTGGAATTTCCTGTGGAGAGAGTCTGCAGCAACTTAGATGGCTTCCCTTCTCAGTGGCTTGGAAAACATCCCCCTCAAGCCCAAAGAGTGGCTCTGAATTAGCTGATGCCAAGGCAGCCACTAGCAACCTGGCCCCTGTAGAAGCGATTCTCTCCAGGGGTAAGCGGGAGCCAGCGGGCCCTGGCACTAATGCAGCGGCAAAGGGCCTCTGTACAGATGCTCTTTGTCATGGTCTCAGGGGATTCATGGCTTTGAGGGGCATGGAACCTCAGCTTATTGAAGGAAGTACTCCTGCTCCCCTCCTTGTGCAAGGGTCTGACTGGAATTATGGGTGGAGAGGCTTTGTTCCCATGGAGACAGGCTCCAGGCCCTCCATGTTTACTGAGGCCTGAGTCAGGCAAAACTTCTATTGACTTCTGTGAATTCAGCGTTCCTTTAGGAGAGATGCTGCTAGGGCTGGCTTGAGCAGGCATAGTACAGGAGGCGCTCCACGATCTTCCCTTACAGAGCTCTGCATCTGAACTTCAATCCTGGCCGGGCTCACCCCTGCTATTCCAGTCACAGACACCTTTTGCGCAGAGGTTATGGGGCAGTTTTGTGATGTTGACTAAGGCCCTCGTACTTATTATCACCAGCGACCCAAGCCAGCATTTGAATTCAGGCCACTAGACTCAAATCTAGTTCACGAACCCAACTCTCAACCACTCCCCCCCCCCCCCCCCCCCCCCCCCCCCCCCCTGCGCTGAACATCGACTATCAGACTGAAAACAGCTGACAGTCCCTTGTATTATCACTGGGCTGACCTGCAGGTAAACTGAAAATGAACTTCTCTTGCTGCTCTTTTCTGGGCCAACTGCCACCTACGCGCATCTGTCAGTAACGGTGGATGCTTCCACTTGCGTTGCAGATGCTCACTGCTAGTTAGTGTGCATGAAAAGTGGGTCTTCTCAATTAAGTGAGAACATTTCACTCATTTTCCTCTGGCCTCTCAGGCTGTGAGGAGGCATTCATCACATCAATTTTTTCATGACCTCCCCACAACGTATGAATAAATAATTACGCAAACTCACCTAGCGCCTGCAAATGAATTTAACATTTATGATTCTGTCAGCCAATCTGTATGTCCATTAAAGTCAAATGATTTGACCAAGACAGTCCTAAGCTTGAGCTAGATAACCCCAGCCCTCTGTTATACAGCCTATATTGTCCAAGGCAACACCATTGGCATTTCTTTGCACCACTAGCTTCTTAGAAGCCCTCCTGACTAATGAAACATCTTCTGAGGATCACCTCAGAATTCTCATCCACCAATAACCTTTTTTACACTAGAGCGAGGGCAAAACCAGAACTTGAGGTACGTACAATTTCAGATCTCCAGATCTGAACCAATCTCTACTGATTAGTTCTGTATGAGATCCAAAACTAGATGGGGGCTATTTTTCACTTCTGGTGGAGCTACAGATGAAATTCATGCTGAGATGGCAGAAATTCATGTGACAATAGCTGATCGTATGATATTTCTACCAACCAAAAACCTCACAAGTGTTCTGTGCCATCAAACGCTAACCCTCATTTGGACTAGAACCTCATCTTCAACTTCCTCTACAGCTGAATACCATCTCCTTGACTCCACTCTAACTAAATGCCTGCACCCAAACCAAGAAACTCTGCTCTGCCTTCTTGCCCATTTCCATCTGATACCTGATATTCTGTCTGATTTCCAGTTCTTTATAGCCATCTATAATTAATCTGTCTTAGTTACACCATATCTCAGTGTGAAGTTCATTATGCAGGGATAAAACCAATGTAATTTTTGCTGTTTGCCTTGACGACGTTTCAGCCCCTGCGGTTATTGATTAGAACTTGAAGTAAGTACCTTCTGTGTGTGTTGCGATTGCTGTTCACATGACCCTGTCCTGTGCAGCCTGGTGTTGGGCATTTCAACACATTCTCGTGCATAGCCAAGACTTTGTAGCGAGGAGAGGAAGGGAAGAGGGGAGGGAAGTAAAAACAACTTTATAAAAACAGAGCAAAAAAGACAAATAGTCAAGTTTTGATGGTGGCTTCCTAGAAATCAGCAAATATGAAACTGTGCAATTAAAAGTTGTCTGCCTACAGAAAAGAGTTACAAGCCAACACTGCTCAGGTCAGCACTAGATTAGCATTTCTGCACAGGCCAGCTTGGTCTTTTTTCCTTGCTAGCTGATTGCAATCCATTTTTCCTCCTCCCCCTTCATTCCGGAGCCATGCCTGCCCATTTCAGGTGGATTTAAGTGATTGGAGTTGTATCTATGCTTTTATCCTTAGGACTAGTCTTTGTTTGATTTTGAAAAATTTTAATCTTCAGGATTATTGCTCCCTGCAGCACTGACCTTAAAAGTAAAGAAAATAATTTGCTTTGCAAGCCTTTAGAAAGCACGCAGCTTGCTTTTTTATTTTATTTTTTGTATGCACATTTGTGTGAAGATAACTGTTACTTTCGCCTTGTCTCCTGCAGTTCTGTGTTTATGGCAGGTCTGCAACCTCTGAAATTACAGATAAGGCAGCGGTTGTGGGTTTTTTTGGCCATTATTCCATTATCATGAGCACACAATACTGAACTTTATTTACATGTACAGAGAATTCTATTTAGGATGTTGGTACAAATAGAAATAAAATCTATATTCGAAAAAAAAGAGCCAATGGCATAATGATAAATATTTTCTGCAGAATATATGAATCTTTAGGTGGTATGTTGTAACTGTCAGGGTCATGAGTGATTAAAAAGAGATTTGACTCTAGTGCACATATCAAATGGTTACTTTTTTTTGCTATACAATAAAAAAAAATTTGCTGTACAGATTTTTTTTTTTTACCCTTCTTCCCTCTTCCCAACAAGCTATTCCATAGGGGGGGAAAAAATCTGTGGGATTCAATATAGGGACCAAACCGACATGGTTCAACAGAAGATCAGTAGGGTTCTATAGAAATTACTGACAACACCTAGAGAAGTAAACAGAGAATGAGATCCTTTCTAAAAGTAGTATTTTTTTAAGCCACCCTATAGAATTCTATAGTAGGGAGATCTGTATGGGATGGATCTAAAAGCCTATAAAAAGGTTATTATTTTCTATTAAATTCTCCAGAACTTTCCCGTAAGGGTAGCTATAACTTTTGTCATCATAAAGGTAAGACACTGTAACTGCATCACACAACACGAGAAATTAAACAATGCTCTTAAGGCAAAAATTACGCCAGGACAGAAGGCCGGCACATGAGCTGTGCACCACTTAAGTTGTATTTGGAGAGCTTACGTGCGACTTCAGTGGTGCCCTGGCCTTGTGATGGGGCTCTTCCGCACAGGGGTGAATTTCACTCTAAGGGTGCATCTACATTGTAGCTAGGGATGTAAAATGGCAACCTGTGTAGACGGACCTGCATTAACTGTACTCTAGCTAGCTCACTAAAAATAGAAGTGAGGATGCTGCAGGGTGAGCTGCACAAATCTGCCCGACTCCCCCCCACCTCACAGGTACATAGTCACTTGTGCAACCTGCACTGAAGCCCTTGCCACTGTGTCCTCACTTCTACTTTTAGTGGCCTAACTAGAGTTCAGCTAGTGTGGATGCATCTAGACAAGCTCCCATTCATACTCAAGACTGTAATACAGATGTGCTCTAAGGCGCAAACCTGCTAAGTGCCTCGGCACCCCAGGTTAGGCAGCCCTTTTTCTGCGGTGTGGGAATCTCTACAGTATACTCACTCTCTGGAGGGATCCTGTCTTTGTGTGGGCAACCAGACAGACTGCGATGGTGAGGATAGAGGCCTGTGACGTGACCGGTGCCATCACAACCTGGAGTAGGACATTTGATCTCTCGCTTCTCAGGTCTTGAGGGATCTAGGAAATATGGGGAGGGGGATGTGGGAAAAATATTACCCAAGGCAAGGGCAGCAACTGGGTACAAATCATGATGACTGGATAAAAGAAAAGGAGCTATTGTACAGCACTGCTGTGATAGAGTTTATCGCCAAGATTTCGGGATATGTTTGCATCTGTAGTTCAAGTGAGAGTCCAAGGTTGAATATTCACACAACCAGCTGCCTGATTGTTGGAGCAAATCAGGTAGTTACTGGTGCAAATACTCTGATTTGCAAACCCAATTACATTTTTATAGGTTTAAAAATACAGGTGCAAGTTTTGCGGGTGGATACGAAAGGGAGGGCATGCTCAGTGTGGCTGAAAATGTATCGTGTAATGTGCTATATAAGGTCAGTGAGGTCATCTAAGAATTATGCCAGGATAATCCCATTGGCTCATCTTCGATCATGGACCAAGCCAAGCCAAAAGAAATTATTGATCTTAGGCCAGGCTTCAGTTTCTATAGGCCTGCCCACTTAGTATCTAATACTTCCTGCAGAATCCAGAAAGGCTCAGCAAGTGATACCCTGCTTGAAAAATACGTGAACTGCATTAGTTTTCAGGTTGATATTTTCATATGAGTCCTATGCAGAAGTAGTTGAAATTTTTCAAATTTTAATAGTTTTGAAATTTGAAAGATAATTCATTGATTCATAAATTAGGAACATTTTAAATGAAATTCTTCATGAAAGTGTTCAGTCACTTTTCAAATGGAAATTGATAGAGCTAGTTGATTTTGTTTGTGTTTCAATTTCAAAAATTGTTAAAATTTTTAATTTAAAAATGAAAAGGGGGAAACGTTTGCAAATATTCCCCCCCCCCACCACTTTCCTGCCCTATGCTAGGAAAGAGGATGACAAACTCTCAGTAGGAGAGGTGTGCATGGAATCAGGTGGTTCCTGTCTACAGCTTTCCTTTGTAGTTTTAGTTCAAAAATTTATTTAAAAGTAAACTGGTGCTGATTAAAGATTCTGATGAAATTGATGGATTGAGGATATTGATGGAACTTTCTCCATGTGTCTATTCAATACGTACATCATGGCCCCATGGAGAAGGCTTCTACTTATCTATTGCTCAAGTAAAAAATGGCACCAAAGCCCAAATGCCCTTAAAATCAGGCTACAAGGTCCATAGTACCTGGTCTCACAGGCTTTTTCTGGAATGGGAAGAATGACTAGAAGGGTGGCACTGGTGGGAGAGTTTTTGTTCTGAGTTTATTTTGGAGGGTCCTAGCTTATGGATTTTGGTCTTAATTGTCACTGGGAAGACTTTATAGCCAAAAGACTGGGTGGGAACATTTTAATAAATGGAAAGAAAGAAAATGAATAGAAATAGTCTCCCGGATTATCCACTCTGCATCGCTTTTCCCATTTCTGTCTTAGAGGTACAGGTTGAGATTTTCAAAGCCAACTAGGGGACTTGCCATGCAATTCCCACTGAGAGTAATAGGAACTATGTGGCTCAATCACCTAACTGAGCTTGAAAATCCACAACCAGCTAGTTTTCATGGGACACTTAGCAGTGAAGCTCAGATTCTTTCACAGTGCAAGGCTGTTGGGGAGGAAGATGGTGCATGGAAGCTTGTTCAGATACTCCACCTTTGCTGTAGTAGTTTTTTCTGATCGTGTCCAAAGGTTTGTTTTGTTTTTCGTCCACCTGGAAATGCTTTACATGCTCCCCTGGCAGGCGGCTGGGCTCCCTCATGATTTTAACCTGCTCGGCTTTGAGCGCAATGGCCTGCTCCAGTAGCCCCAGGTTCCCTCTGGTCATCATGTCGTACATTTCAGACTCATCGGTCACGGCAGATTTCTGGGAGCGAGCATCGTCATCTTTGTCGTCGTCTGACCTGACCTCCACGATGACCGAGTACTCAGGTTTTGGGCTGAACCGCCCTTCACAGTGGGTTTTCTGGGAGTCCCGAGACGTCTGAGGAGTTTCTTCACAGATGACTTCAGGTGCCAGCTCCTCCTCTTCTTCCTCTTCCTCCTCCTCCTCCTCCTCTTCTTCCTCCTCTTCTTCTTCCTCCTCCTCCTCTTCCTCCTCCTCCTCCTCCTCTTCTGCTTCTGCTTGCATGGCCTTTTGCAACTTGCAGGACCCCTCACAGTTCAGATCGTCCCGATGCTCTGGACACAATTCACTGCTACGTTCACTAGTGACCTCAATGACTTCCTCCGCATCCTCAGTTTGGATAATAATTTCCTTGTCACTTTCCTCCTCGACCACCTCTTCTTCCGCCCCTTCATGGACCAGGTGCACAACATTAACAGGAGGTTTGGAGACCTGCAGTTCATTTTCAGGCATCTGTCCCTCTATTGCAAGGGTTTCTTCTGCTATTTGGCCTAGATTTAGGAGAGAGTTGGCAATGATTTCTTGATAGCTGCTGTAATTGGCCTTGCTAGGGCCGGGTGTACTGGTAGCTGCATTTTGTCCATAGTGTGATGATTTTGCTGGGCTTCTTACTGCAAAAAGGAAGAAGGAAAAACGTTATAAGCTCATAAAGAGCTCTTTGTCTCCTTTCAGTTTAATTGAACCCCAAGTCTTGCTCTTGTGCCCTGGGTGAAGCCTGATTTATTGCATTTAGTAATGGCAGGTATAAAAAGGGATTTCCATTTTAAAATTATTCCCACTGATAAGATGAGTAACACCTTCAGATATCTATGTTCTCCACTGAACCATCAGAAACCATCAGCTACACATTTTTTCACGTTGTCTGCACTAGCCCAAGGTGATGTTTTCATGCTAAAGAGCACCCCATTGGAGGCTGATGCAAACTGCCTCAATAAACAGGGGTCCGTGATACACAAATAATTTACAAGGAAAGAGATAAGGGAGAAGGCTAAGGTCCCAGGGCAAAAACTCTGCCCGGGTTACGCACATATACCTCCTCCCAAAGCCAATGAGAGTGGCATGAATTTGGGCCTAGGGGCCTTACTCTGTGACCACTGAGCATAAGTACAGTCATCCTGGGTCAGATCAATGGTCCATCTAGCCCAGTATCCTGTCTTACAACAGTGGCCAATGCCAGGTGCCCCAGAGGGAATGAACAGAACAGGTAATCACCAAGTGATCCATCCCCTGTCGTCCACTCCCAGCTTCTGGCAAACAGAGGCTAGGGACACCATTCCTGCCCACCCTGGCTAATAGCCATTGATCGACCTATCCTCCAGGAACATATCTAGTTCTTTTTTGACCCCTGTTATGGTTTTGGCCTTCACAACATCCTCCGGCAACGAGTTCCACAGGTTGAAGACAACAGAAAAGCTCACAACTTGTCTCTGGATCAGGCTCCAAGACTCCAGTGTGCCTTTCCCATTGCTTTACCTATTGAGCCGCACAGAAAAGTGCTTTTATACTCTCCATAGTTCCTTCCCCAGGAATCGTCACTGATGGGAAAGCTCTTATTTTTAAGATGTTGGAGACAGTCTGTGACCAGCATAGCCAGGAACAGCCCTTCTCAGATTAAACAGGGTTTTTCTGTTGTTCTTCCACTGAATATAATAATGGAAGAACCCATCCTATACATAATTTAGAGGCACTATAACTCTTCATTATTAACACTCACTGCCCTTTTTCCATCTGTAAAATAAGCTCTGCAATCAATAATGATAAAGCACCTTCCGCTGGCTCAGGGCTGGGGGTCTCCTCCTCTTCTATCGTCTCTGCCTCTTCCTCCTCCAAAGTCCCCTCGGATTCATCAGTGACAGACTCCTCCTTCACCTCCGTCTCCTCGCTCCCATCGCTGTCCACATTGTAGCCTTCATCAAGGGCCAGCTTCAGGGGATGGGATTTTCTCTTTGACACCAGGTGCTCGGCCTCAGCGTCCTGAAGTTTCCTCTTCTTTGCTAGAGGGCAGCTTTGTAAACTAGAGGAAAAGAGGACTCATTGCATGAGGGAGCAGGTCTGAGAAAGACCTCAGAAATGGATGCTTTATTCAATGCAGCAAGGGGTAAAAAAGTCCTTTAAGGACTGAAGAGAAACGGGTCAACTTTGGGCAATGCATAGGGAGGGCCAGATCTTCAGCTGGTTTACATTGTCCTAGCTTTGTTGACCAAGCTGAAGATCTGGCCTTCATTCTTTTTCACTCTTCTCTAAAGAAACTCACCTATGAATGGACCAGCTCCTGATGCCTTTACTCAGTTTTTGCTCAGAGATCACTGGGAGTTTGCCTGGCCCAGTAAAAACATTTAGTCCTATTGCATCTTATATCTGCCATCACAATTTACGCTAGGCCCAGTTATTTCTAACCTGGACATTGTTGGATACTAAAGGCTGTTGGTTGCTTCTAGCTATAAAACTAGAACTGGTATTTAGGTCCAGCCATTGTGGCATATTTAACTCATGGGCACCAGGAGTCCAGAAGAACTGGTATTTAGGTCCAGCCATTGTGGCATATTTAACTCATGGGCACCAGGAGTCCAGATCTGCCTAGTATAATGCACTGATGAAAAATCTGTTAGCAGAAGAATGGACTGCAAGGCAGGCAACAAACTGGTATTTCCCACCCCACTTCCCTCCACCATGCACGCAAGTAGCAAGCAGAGCAAGTCCTCAGCCTGAAGACATCTCAGCAGAATTAATAAACTCATTTTATAGCAACACAGCCTCCTCCTTTTTGCATCGGCCGTGAGTTTGGGGAAGCTCGTTTAGGACCTGATCCAACTCCCATTGTAGTCAATGGAGCTGGATCAGGGTCAGTCTGTCTTGATTCCTACGTCTCTCTACCACTGGCATTCAGGTTCCTTAGACTGGAAATCCGCCAGACCAAATCTTACCTTCTGTGTCTTGCATACTTTCCACGGATGTGTCCTGAGCCATTACATCCTGGGGTAGGGCAGCTTGAGGGGGAAACAATCAAGCAACAAGAACGGTGATGACTTGAAGAATGCATTTTAATTAAAGTATATAAACTGTGGGAGAGTTAAAAAGAATCTGTGCAGAAGGAACAAAAACTGCAAAAGGGAAGATAATTTCCTTTAAATAGTTCATTTCATCCCTTTGAATTCCAAGCAAGGAGGGCAGGATGGCGGCTTTGCAGTTTGCTAAAAATTAATGAAATGAGTCACCCCATTTAATTAAATGAACGGTTCATTATAGTTTTATGAGTATGTTTAATTAAAGATTTGCATGTGTAAAAGCAAGCCTTTAAAGACCAGACAACTACCGTACCCTGCCTCCCACTGCCACTGTTTAGTTTTCTTTTTCACTAGTGTACAAAATAAATCATGGTTTTTTACATTTCATTTTATGGCTTGTCAGACAAGCATTGTTTGAGGATGCTAGGAATGGGGGACCTATTGAGAAGGCCAGGTTGAGGAATGGACACGGGGAGTCAGGCCTTTGGTGATAGGAGTCAGAGCATGTTGGACAAAATTCACTAGCTCCCCTGCCCTGGCGTCTGCTCAGCTGAAGCGACAGTCTCAGCGCAGAGGGCTCCAGAAACCCTAGGCACGACTTGTGCCCTCTAAAGCCCTTAGCACAGACTGAAGTGGTGCATGCTGCTTTGCACAGCTCCTCTGCCCTGGTAAATGTCACCCCTACAGATAGGCCAGTCTCCAGGAATTACAGGGGCCCCAGAGGCTGAAAAGCGGCTTCAGCCAGTTCGCCTGGCGGATGTACATTAGGCTTTGGCGATTGCCATAGGCTGCAAAGCCAGGGGGGCCACCCAGGACACGGCTTGACCACTTTTTGACTGGGCTGGCTGGTTTCTCAACTCTCTTGCCAGTTGCTGGTCACGAGATGCAATTTGCCGGGGGGGGGGGGGGGGGGGGGGGGGGGGGGGGGGGGGGGGGGTTGGCTGGGTGCACATGCAGCCGTACGCATAGTGATCTCGTAACTAGCATCCGTGCACGGTGCGGCGGGGAGTGGTGCTGCGGCCTGCTCTGCATGTGCAGCGTGCCCTGTGCCAGGCCCTTGCCCCCTGCTGGCTGCTGAAACTGCAGCAACTCTTCAGGATCCTCCCTCCCCTCCTCCTCTGCGGGTGTCCCTATGAACTAGCCCAGCTGAGCCAGGCACTTCTGAGGTCGTTAGGGTTAACTCCTGGCCAAGGTCCAGATGGAAGCTGATGTGGTGCCACGCTTTGCTGACCAGAATTCAGGGCAGGGAGCCCTAGGAGAACAGCAGCACTTTGTGTTTGGGAGCTTGCTGACTGGAAGGAAAGCCGAAGCCAGAGACTCTGAACTCCCAGAGAGGCCCTAGACCTATCTCATCTCAAAACCCTCCTGGTCCTGCTACATGTCCTGGTAACACTGAAACCCCAGGGCTGCCTTTTGCAATAAGCTGACTTGTGACCTGCTTAATATCTGAGCTGATGATTCTCCTTTAACTCACACGATCAACTGGGAGGATGCCCAGCGTTCTCTTTAGCCTCCTAGCCTCTGTACGGTGCATACGCTCAAACCAAACTGCACCTTTCACGGGGTGCCTCGGCTGAGTGGAAGTGGCAGCTCAGAGGGTTCTTCCAAGTGACGTGCTCGAGATCATACATAAGAAGATCTCTCCAGGCTAATGTGCATAATTGGAAGAGGGTCCCCCTCCCTTTTACTGATGATCTTAAAGTCTATTTAATTTTAATTGCCTTCAGTCATGACTGAGATCGCTCTGTTCTGAACAGCCCCAGACACACTCTAAGTGACTGCACACAGAGACACGGAGCAGTGGTTATGCTAGCAATGACTTGCCTGAAAAAATAAAAAGGCTTATTTAGTGTGGAACAAGAACAGCTCTGATGAAGATGTTATGGGCATTTCTAAACTTTGCTAAATCAGTTAAGGTTGATTCCCTTTTTTAAGGCAGTAAATTACAGCCTGTGGTTAAAAAAAAAAAAAAAAAAAAAGAGAGAATAGCCCAGAGGCTCTGAGCCAAATGTATCTAAAGTGACTAGTGATTTTAGGTGGCCCATTTTTGGTGCCTAGCTTTAGACAACTTCAAAGGTGTCCAATATTCAGAGGGTGGGCGCTCAGTGCTTTCTGGAATGCCAGGTCATTTTATCTTGGTCTAGGACTTTGATTTGTGAAATCCTTAGAGATGGAAATTTCTTACATCTTGGCAGGGGTCACTGGTGGCAAAGGGCTCCGTGGTTTGTTAATGGTTCCCCCTTCTTTGTAACATTCACCAATTTCTCTCTTTCTCTCTCTCTCTCTTTCTCAACAGCTTTAATACTTTTACAAAAGCCTTCTTATTGTCATGCAGACGATGCCTAGCTTCCAATTAGTCGATTAATCGTCCAGTTAATCAGGCAATTAGGTGACAGCTGCAGAGAGGGCTGTGTGGAGCACTCTGTGCTGCCCCTGAAATATGTCACCTGCTTCAATTACCACCTCCACTCAAGTATTCAGCAATAAAAGTTAGGGAAGTGTAATGCCCAGCATCCCCCATGCTAGTCTCTCAGGAGTCATCGCAGAGCGTAGGAGCAGAAATTCTACGAAATTAGGACAGTTAAGGTCCAATTACTCTTTGACATGGAAAGCTTTCTAATAGAGGCCATAGGAAATGCAGCCCCTGCCATTAGCACATGCCCAGGTTAGTGAATCCTCCTCTTGCATAAGCACTTATGTCAGTTTTACAGAGATCTGAGAGATCCAGGAGCCTGTGATTTATAATAAAAAGCTTTGTAAGACTGCAAAGGTTTGCGCCAGTTTTTTTCTCTGGCTGTTGCTGGCATGCAAGCGACACCAAATGAACAACAGGACCGCCTGAACATCTCAGGCATCGGGCTATGGGATGGCCAGGCTGACGGGTGGGGGTGTGGGCATCAGATCTGTACCGATGGAAAAATCTTATCCTGTACCTGTGGGGCTAAATCATTTTAAAATCCATCCTGTAAGGCAGGGGAGAGGATGGAAGGGGAGATAGAGACCAGGAACATGGACAGGGGAGGAGGACCAAAGGGACGAGAGGGGCAGGGAACCAGCGGATGATCCAGGAATGGGAGCAGGGGGAGGACACCCGAGACAGAAGGGGAAGTTTGCTGTTAACCATTGTACATAACAATACTTTTTCAAGTGCCATTATTTAAGGCTGCAGTTCCCTCTGGGGACTGGATCCTAGGCTGACCTCGCCCTTAGTGCAGCCCAGAGAGAGGAGACCCTGAGCATCGTTTCACCTCCTCTGCTCCTGGGACTGGTTATGGGCTGGAGTGGGGCCTAGCAATAGGGCAGTCACAGGGCCGCTCTAATTAACACCAGCTGGAACAGTCCCCTAGGGGCTTCCCTGCCAGCCAAAGATTGCTCCTTCTCATCCCTATCCGGCCGCCTCCCGCCCTCAGCCCACCATAGAATGCACCTTGCGTGGAGGGGGAAGTGAATGGTAAAAGCCAGATTCCCCGCCATTAAAGAAAGTGGGAATGGGGAAGTGCAGAGGGCAGCTCGCTCTCTTCTGCCTGGCGTGGGTAAGCAGTGTGCCCTTACAGCTCCCCCTACACTGGTTCAATGAGAACTCTCCCCTCCTGTTTCAATCTGCTATAACTCTGCTATAACCCTCCTGGGGTCCCTTTGTGCTCTGGGCTGGTGCAAAGGGGACTTACCCAGGGCCAAGCCCTGAGTGTCTGGCTACATGATGTACAAGGAACTGTAACACAGCTAAAATCCTGTTCATTTTTCTTCCCTATAGCCATAAAATGGGACCCACCAAGTGGGAGGGGCAGAAGAAGGGGCTGCAGGAGGAGTAAGGGTTGGGCCTGGTAATAGATTTGCCCCGTCTAATGCTTTCCACAGCTTTTATTTCCCTAAGGAATGCGCCAGAATCCCTCCCCCTCCCCAAGTTATGGGGCTGAGAAGACACTTTTCTTACCTCACCTCCTGTCCTATGAGTTCCGTGGGCACTGAGCAGAGGGACAGGAAACAAAAGTGGAAAGAAACACAAGGTTGTTAGTAAAAACACAGATTCCACTGCCACCGCTGAGCTAAGCCATCCTAGATCATAAAATAGGCAAGGCTACCTAGTAAATAGAAAAGCATAAACTCTCTGCAGCCCTCAGCCTGCGACCACTTACACACATGCTTAACTTTAAGCGTGTTACCATTAGGCATGTCGTGTTTTCAGGGTAAGGGCCTACATCTCTATGTAGACACAAACACACACACAGAGCCAGATTCTTAGCTGGTTTAAACTAGCGTGGCAATATTGAAATCCATGGAGCGACATCGATTTAAACCAGCTCAGGATCTGGACTGCAACCGGTAAAGGAACTGACTGAGTTCTCTCGTGTCTCTTCAGTTTTTTGGCAGTTCAGATGCATTTAAAATATTGCATTTTTCTAGTTTCTCATTTTAATCCCTTTTGTAACGATAGCACAGGCTCTAGATCAGAGGTGAGCAAACTACGGCCCACGGGCCACATCCAGCCCGCGGGACTGTCCTGCCCGGCCCCTGAGCTCCTGGACGGGGATAGGGTGACTAGATGTGCCGATTTTATAGGGACAGTACCGATATATGGGGCTTTTTCTTATATAGGCTCCTAATACCCCCCAGCCCCGTCCCGATTTTTCACACTTGCTGTCTGGTCACCCTAGCCGCAGAGGCTATCCCCGCCCCTCCCCTGCTGTCCCCCCTCCCCCGCAGCCACGCCGCCATGCGGGCAGCGCTCTGGGTGGTGGGGTTGCATGCTCCTGCAGAGCAGTGCAGCAGCGTGTCTGGATCCTGCCAGGCAGTGCGGCTGCCAGACATGCTGCTCTGAGTGGCATGGTAAGGGGGCCAGGGCCGGGGGGTTGGATAAGGGCTGGAGGTTCGGAGGGGGTGGTCAGGAGACGGGGAATGGGGGGGTTGGATAAACATGGGAGTCCCGGGGGGACTGTCAGGGGGCGGGGGTGTGGATAGGGGTCAGGGGATGGGGAACGGGGGGGTTGGATAGGCGTGGGGTGCCGGGGGGCCTGTCGGGGGCGGGGGTGTGGATAGGGGTCAGGGCGGCAGTCAGGGGACGGGGAACGGGGTGGTTGGATGGGGGTGGGGTCTCAGGGCATAGTTAGGGGTGAGGGGTCCTGGGAGGGGGCGGTTAGGGGACAAGGAGCAGGGGGGGTTGGATGGGTCAGGGATTCTGAGGGGGGCAGTCAGGGGGTGCGAAGTGGGAGGAGGTGGATAGGGGGCGGGGGCCAGGCTGTTTGGGGAGGCACAGCCTTCCCTACCCAGCCCTCCATACAGTTTTGCAACCCCAACGTGGCCCTTGGGCCAAAAAGTTAGCCCACCCCAATCTAGATTTTTAGGGATGATTCTTCATTTCTGAATAATACAGATGACATTACTGTATCTTTACTGAAAACCTGATGTCCAGCCAGGAATCCAAACAGCCAGGGGAAAAAAAGAAGAAGAAAAAAAATGCTATGTGGCACAGGGTAAAAGGCATAACACAGCTGCTCAATTTGTTTGAGCTAATTGGGTTTCTGGGGGATCCAAACCTCAATGGAGTGACTCACAAACTTCAACAAACTGGAGGCAACAGTACGTAGCATGGTGTATCCAAGAAATTACCTTTTCACATCGGGAGACCTAGCTTTAAGTGTGTTTAAGGTGGGAAAATAAGCAGAATCAGGCTGGTCTCATTATAATCCCTAATGAGCATTACATATCTTACAAAAACTACCACATAATGTGGCACGATTCAGCACAATTGGCTGTATCTGCTTTCTGAGCGATGCAAATGCCTAGAAGGAGAATGATGTAGGTCAGCATGGAGTGAGGCACAATGGCCCAGCTGTGTAGATGAAGTTGCATAATACCTTCCCACATCACCCTTCATTTTAACCAGTGCTATTAGTTCCTCTCTTTCAGTGACCTTTGAACTGCATCAGATCCATACACACAGAAAAGAGAAAAAATAAATTCAGAGGTTGAGCTGTAATCATTACACAGGGTACCAATGATCTGGATATGACTTTACACGCTGCAATATAGATGACAGCACCTTCCTTCTTTGCGGGGAAAAGGCATCTAGAGGATGAAATATACATTTTTTTGCAAAGCTGGAAAATAAATAGCAATCAAGCTTTAAATTAACAAGTCATTTGTCCTCAAGTCCCCGCCATGAGACGGCCTGTTTGCTTCTGCAGCATGTACAACCTCTGCCAGGAACTCTCAGATGTTCAACTTCAAAGCCTCTAGCAGAGCATACATGATGAAAGCCTCTGGAAGTGATCTGAAGCTATCACGATTCCTATAGAACTAAGCATGGAAGGGATTTTTTTTTTTTACAGGGGGGAGGAAGGAAGGTTAAATACTATGTGGGGTGTAAGTGTTTGTTGCTAGAGCTGTTTTTGTGAACAGATCTCCTGGGCTGGGGGGAGGCGGGGAAGCAGTGTTTTAAAAACGTGAAAGAATGAGATTCTGGGTCTGAAAGGAGAGCCTGCTTGGAAAAACCGGAGCACATTAACCTCAGATATAGCCAATGTATGTAATTCCACACAGGAGGAGAATAAACGGCTCACCTCTGATAGACTTTGATCGTGTGCGTGCTCTCTTATCGTCATTTTCTAAACTCATCTGGAATCAAACAGCGACAAAATTAGCATTTAAGAATGTATTGGAAACAGTTACCCAATATAAATGCCTGGAGCTGGGGAGGCTGTAATGTCTTTTTGAGAAAGATACTGATTGTATTACTTTTCAAATTAAGGCCAGACTAACTTTGCTGGGTTGACTCTAAGGGGAGGAGCCCTGATTTGTCTTTTCCCTATCATATAAAGACTTCACCCAATAGGAACGTAGCATTTCTCTTGCTCTATGGACCAAACGGCTGAAAATATGGCCTTATTGAAGTCAGTGGGAATTTTACCATTGATTTTGATGGGTCCACAATTTCACCCAAAGTATTTGTATGGTCAGCTTGTGATACCCTGATGATCATCAGATAGTATTTTAAACCACAAGTGATCTCACTGAAGTCAATAGGACTTCTAAGATAGGTGCTGCTCAGTGGGAGAATGGATATGATATTCTGGCCCACCAAGTAAATAGCTGGCTTTGTTTTGCAGACATTGCTTTTTAGGGGTTGTGCAAAATGGCATTGTTCCACTGACTTCCTTGAACCAGCGGAGAGTTTGCCCCTTCACATATAAAACAACTTGCATGTTTTCATCCTGGGGGGAAGGAGGGGGAAAGGACTTTATAAGGACACCATTTTGGAGCCAGACCCTGCAAAGTTTTACTCCTGTGAGCAATGATTTTCCCTGGATGTTATTGGAAGCTGCTCCCAGGAGCAAAGATTACTCATCTGAGCCAGGCTTGTCAAGATGCGGCTTTTGTTTTGTGCAAAGGGGCCTGCGAGGTACTCAGCACCTCAGGAACCATTGAAGGCAGCGAGAGTGGAAGGTGACGCCATATCACAGGATGAGGTCCTAAATCTCTATCCAAAAACCTACCAACTTCTTTTCCCAGCTGCATGCATGAAGGAAAATAGCTACAGCCTTGAGGGACCAGATGAACTTCAGCAAGACCAGATGAACTTTAGAACGGAGTAAAATCATAATGGGTGAAATTCTCCCCTCTGCACAAGCCCAGCTCCAGGTCTATGCACCCTGGAAGTATCATTAAACCCCATTGTAAGGGTTTTAATGAGACTTAAGAGGTGAAGAGGGCTTGTGTTGGTCCTCTGCACAGGGGAAATGTTACCCACAGGTCTTCAAAACCCCACCTAGTGTTGTAATCGCTGGAACCAGTCTCTCCTGTTCTTATGTTATGTTCTTATGTTCACCCTAGGCGAGGGTTGACCTTGCCTAACAACATCGATATAATAACCATTTGTGCCTTGTTTCCACAAGGATTTTACATGGCATTAGCGGTCTTGATGCAAAGCGGTCCCTATTGTTTGGCGGTGAAGACCGAGCCTCAGCGAGTTTTGGATGAGGTTCTGATTAACATCTAAACTTTTAGAACTTTATCTGAATGCAACCACCACATTTTTGGCATTTCACGCCCTCTTTGGGTCATGTGGCTATTCCAGCACTGCACCAGACATAGCGGGGCTCATGTCTGGAAAAAAAAATTCAGCAAGGTGCCATGCAACTCTTTCCATGTGCTTTTAAGGAGTATTATTTAACATGTATGTGTCATCATTTTAATAGGTCACTGGGATCTGCACAGGCATTATTATTATAACGTTTATATTGGTGTAGCGCCTAGAAATCTCCACCAGGTCAGTGCCCTATTGTGCTAGGTGCTGTACAAACGTACAGTAAAATGACAGTCTGTAGCCCTCATAGTTTACAAGATGAGACATATCAGGTGGATAAGACTAAAAAGTACGGAGGAAGACGGGTAACAAATGCAAGGGGATGTTTTCGCACAGCCCAGTTGTGGGTGCAGTTCTCAGCCAATCAGTAGTGGTTATAATAATAACTGCTATCTCTTGTAACACTTTCCATCAGTAGATCTCAAAGGAGGTAAGTCATTATCCCATTACCCCAAATGGGGAAACTGAGGCATGAAGTGACTTGCCTCAGGTCATCCACCAGGCCAATGGCAGAGCCAGAAATAAAACCTTGGTCTTCCGATGCCTAATCCAGTTCACTGTCCACTAGGCTACACTGTCTCGCCCGTAATAGCAACTCGCCATCTGCCCGGCTTCCAGCAGATGGCAGCTTTCTGTGTGCATTGCAACAGAAGTGAGTTTTGAGGAGGGTTTTGAAGGCGGGTAAGACAGTGGCTGTATTTTGACTGGGAGCTTTATCTTACCCACAAGGGGCCTTGTGGGAGACAGTACAGAGATGCTTGTGGGAGAAGCAGATGATCAAGGCTGTTATTGTTGGCGGGCTGCAAGCAGGGGCTTGAGTGAGCAATAAGATATAGGACAGATAGCTTATTTGTCTAAAACCACAAGCTCTGAAGATTGCTCTGTGCAGCCTTGAATGAATTCCCTCTATTATGAAATTTCTAGACAATAAAAGTGGCATCTGCACTTTTGTAGAGCGTTAGTGTATATAAAAATCGCCATCTATTGGCATGAGAGTATAGGGCATGTTGTATTGTTCATATGTCTTTATATTCAATAAAGTTGTTGTTGTGCACTATGAATAGCATCTTCTGTGTAGCTTTTTCCTTGGCGCGCTTGACAGCACCCCTCTACCTTCACTCAGAGAAATTTTACACAGATGGAAGGAAGCATCCAGATGACCTCTAGATTGTGGACATCAAACATTATGCTCAGTAGGGAATGACAACATGAATAAATAATACTTGGGACTTCAAAGTGCTCAACATTAATTAATTAAGCATCACAACAAACCGTGAAGTAGTGAAAGCTGCCATGCAGCCACCTCTGGGGTGCAGCGGGCATCTGTTGAACAGTCAGTACCATGCAACAGCTTAGGCAGGATGAGGAGAAATAATTATTTCTATTACAGCAGCACCTGCAGTCCCCAGTAAAAACCAGCACCCTCTCGCAAGCAATCTCAATCGGCAGAGTATAACAACAGGAGTTAGAAGCTAAAAGGATAGGAATAGGCTCTTATGAAACACACCAATGGATCTTTAAAAACTTTCAAAAGCATGCAGGGCATTAGTTTTACATCTCATCCTAAAGATGGTCAAAGAGATGTATGAAGTTAGAAACTTCTTTATATCGGCAGGGTTGTGCCCTGCTCCAATCCAGATATATAAAGAAGTAACCAGGAGCAAGATCCCCCCCACACACACATCAATTTGGATCCTGATCTTCTATTAACTCCATGTAGAGGCAGAGGTCTGTTCTCATGGACTCAAGCGGAGCAGGAACCAAGCAAGTTTTTTTTAATATGGATGTAAGTGTTTATGACGAGGTACAGTGGATTCCTGATTAGGACTGCCGGACTTCCCTTTCCACTGAGCTGTCAGTCTGTCTCCTGACACCAGGCATTAGTGTGGAATTACTCTGCTTCTGTTGCAATGCCTCGACTCCTGATTACCTGAACTCCTGGCTAGCCAAGCATCTTTAACGTTATCAAAGTGGTGCAGAGAATTGGGATTCTAGTGTCCATTTAAAACGGCTGTATGGAGGAGGAGGGAGAAGATAATACATTACCATCCCCATGATTATCATACATATCTGGTTTAGAGAGAGAACAAGAACATTCAAACCTGATTTGTCCTAATAAGGGTGAATTACCTTCTGCACAGAATGTCCCTGACTAAGTGTTCTCATCTCAACAAAGTCCTGCTGGCCATCATGTGATGAGCTTCTGCAATGTAACAAAATGAAGTGGCTCGAAAAAACTAAACCCACGGGTTAAATAGCGGGTGTGTGGAATCCTAGCATTGGTTAAATACATTCAAACGGAGAAGGAAGGGAACAGAATTGGAAAGTGCAGCTGGAGCATGCACTGTAATGAGCAGTATGGTGCTGCTTCCCTTTTCTGTTGCTCGGCTGGCATAGTGTATAATGAAAACAAAGCATGCTGGCTCCTCATTGGAATAAAGCCCAGCACAAGAGCCAGCTATTGGCCACGTGATCTGTTCTTCAATGAGGAGCAGGAGAGGCTGTATGACTCAAAATGCCTACTCTAATTCTGCTTAAGTTCTTGAACGTATCCTTTCAAAAAGCGTGTGTGTGTGTGTGTGTGTGTGTGTTTCTTTACTGTAAGAAGTGAACGGGCAGAAAGTGCGATTTGCACCTGTATTTTTCATACGAAGGTGTTTATTTTAGTTTCTCAAAGCCAGGAGATGACAAAGCCCCCTGAGGTGCCACCGCTGAAGAAAAGGTCTCAAATCAGCAAGATGAAATTTCCCCGCGTAGCCCTCCCTTCCGCCCCCTGGTAACGCAGCACTAGCATCCAGTGATTTATGTCATTTGTTGGGGGGCTGGAAAATATCAAAACCTGGAGTAATTTATGCATCCTGTCAGCTATAGTCTTGTGGTGCCAGAGCGTTATTTTCTACGTTTATTACAACCTTCCCAATAACCCAGAAGACAATTACTATAATTTCTATTTTTAAAGCCCTGGTTCCCCATGGACCAATGGCTCACATTTAAAGTGTGGAGAGGAGCAGGTGTCAACAGGACTTCATTACATTTATGAGCCTTTCAAATGTGCCGTGCTCTCAGCTAGCTCGCTAATGCCTTCCGATGCATGCTGTACAATAGAACTAATATGTTTGATTGCTAGGCGGCTATGTTCAGCTGAAATGAAATCTAGAGCTTTTTTTTTTTTTTTGTCAGTTTTCCCAGAGAAATTGGCAAGCATTCTGTTGGGGCCTTGGCAATTTGGATTTCCTGCAGATAAATTATTCAAAAAGCAGAGAATAGAGAGGGCTGCAGAAAGCGTAATGGGCGCTGCTTGCAAACTGCTAACTCCTACTGATGGAGCTAACAGCTGTGGTACTCCTTTTTCCAGAGCACCTTGCCATTTGCAATGTATCGACTTTTTTTTTTTTTTTTTTTTTAAAGGACAACAGGAAGCATTTCTTCGCTTTGGTGTGAAAAGCTTCAATTTAAAGGGAATAAAATACAGAGGGACAAAAATTCAGGTCTTAATCCTGCCCTTTTGAGGAAGGTAGACTGGAAAGTGAGC